GGGGAGAATGACTAGAGGCAAAGAGGAATGAAATATAGCAACAAAAAGGAAAAGGATTTGAGCCAAGGGGAAAAAAGAAAAGAGAAGAAGTCAACTTAGTCGAAAGGACCGGAAACGCACATGGCTCGTGTTGGTGGTTGCGGCAAAGATGATGTTACTCTAGCTGAAAAGTACCTAGGGAATCGGGCCAGACTGAGAGGCAACGGATTGCGCGGTGAGATTAACTTCAAAATCCGCAGCCGGGTTTTGGAAGTGAGGAGGAGGTAGTAGTAGTAGTAGTAGTAGTAGTAGTAGCAGTAGCAGAAGCAGCAGCAGCAGCAGCAGCAGCAGCAGCAGTAGTAGTAGTTGTTGTTGTTGTAGCAGCAGTGGGAGTCAAAAGCAACAACAGTGATAAAAGGCAGTGTGGCTGACAATGCTAACAGCCAGGATGGGCTAGATGTGTGGATAAAAGGGAAATCTTGGAAAGCTAATTAGATGTTGGCAAGATTGACAAAAGTACAATGCCCCCAGAGACCTGAGAGAAAGAGACAGACCGCGATGGGGACAAAGACGACGGAGGGAGTATGCGAGATTGGCGATATCTAGTTTAGGCTAGCAGACCGAGGCATGGGGGAAGGTTTTGGTTTTACGGGATGGGGGCGGCGGTGGCTGCTGCTGTGTTTTTTAGTTGCTGGTCTTTTGCTGGTCTTTTGCTGTTGGATGGATGATGGCTTTGGGTGTTCATCTGAGAGTCGTGTCACACCAGCAGCTCTAAGCGGGGATTGGGGATATGCGAGAGTAGAAGTAGGGTGAGCACGGAAGTGAGACGGGGCGGGTTGAGAGGTGGGGGGGGGAGGAAAGACAAGCAACAAGACCCCTGACGTGTGGCTGTGGGTGGGCGTGAGAGCAGGTATATAAATATATATATATATATATATAGAGGGAGAGAGAGAACTTTCCAGCAATTCGGCGAGGAAAGAAAGGAAAAGAGGGGAGAGGGAGAGGGAACGCGGGAATGAGAGAAGTGAAAAAGAAGGGTAGTAGTAGTAGTAGTAGTGGTAGTAGTAGTAGTAGTAGTAGTAGTAGAAGAAGAAGAAGAAGAAGAAGAAGAAGAAGAAGAAAAAGAAGTGGGAGCTGGATGGAGGACGCAAGAAACGGGGCTGCGCCCAATTTTGCCGGCGAATTAATTGTTGCTGTGAGTACCTGGATGTTGTCTCTTACGGATAATGTCATGGCCCTACGGAGTACGGGGAAGTTTTATGTCTGCGTCTATCTATCCGCGTGTCGAACTCTTCCTCCATCCGTAAAAATACTTATGTTAAACTGACTCCGAACTTCGCAACCCACCCGCAACCCGCCACCAGCTACACTTCCAACCCGCAGACGTTGTCTCCACAACAACAAACCCCAGATCCCTTTATGTTTGACACTTCCCTTTGCTCAATAAATGGCTTCTTCTTATCGTGGGATATTATTGGGCACAGGGGGCCCGGCAGCGCAACAAAAAATATGCTGCAAAAACCCCGAATAGAAAAAAAATGCCTGACTTTGGGCTCCTGAATTTGTTGGCTCGGGGATTTCCTGGGAGCTTATGATGGTCAATGGTCCCGAGCACCAAATTACGAAATAACCGTGGAACCAAATTTTTTTTTTTTTTTTTTTTTTTTTTTTAAAAAAAAAAAAAAAAAATAAGAAGAAGAGAAAGAGAAAGGAAAAAATAGAAAAGTTGCAACTGGACCCGGGGCCTCTGATTTGCAAATAAAATACATATACATTACATCCAAAAACAGCAAGATTTGCGGCTGATCGCGGGCCGGCAAGGAAAAGGGATGAATTCGACCGTTGACCCCGTCTACATACTTCTGAGCCGAAGAGATCGTGTCAGCTTCTTCATCTCGCCGACTCTGCGAAAAGGGCACACCGTTTGCGTCTCTCAGCAAGGATGTGTGTTGTGTACAGCTATCTTCGGGCTCGGAGTAGAAGATCCCAATAGTCATTACAGCGGTCTCTCTTTCATCCGCAGCTTATATTTCCCTATCCCTTCCCTCCCCCCTCCCCCCCAGCTACGGCTGTCCCCCCCCAAAAAAAAAAAAAAAAAAAAAAAAGGGTTACAATCTGACCCGTGCTATGGCGAAGATAAGAGTGAGACTCGGGGCCAAACAAAAATAAAGTACAGAAGTGCAATAGTCGAAACATCCCTGAGGTTCTTGTAGTGGTAACCCGGATCTAGATCTTTTAACAGCCATGGTTCTTCAATATTCGTCCTCTCTTATCTCTCCGGGTTCCTCAGATTATAGCCTCGAAGCTGAATTTCATGTTCTTAGATTCATGTGCAGTTTCATTTCGCAGGCTGAGCTGCCCATTAATAAACATTTCGGCGTTAACCGGATGGGCTATGTGCGGGATAACCTTTTGGCATGCCCCGGAATAGATCTAATATTAGAAACAAGCACCCTTTTTTTTTTGTGTGTCATTTCTCAATCCCCCTTCCCCGGAGAAAATATGTTGCCTCGTACAGCGTCGGTTTCCTTGTGTTGGCTCGGGGAGTTAAACGGTCAAGCCCATGGTAACTTGGTATGCTCTCCTCCTCCGGTGTAACTGACAGCTGCTCTATATTTGTTTAAACCACGTCTGTCAAAACGTCCAGGCGACGGAGTAGATCGGGAGAGCATTACTCCTGCGCCCATCTCTAACCTCTCATGCCCTCCGATAATACCATAAGCGGTATTTTCTTTGCTTTTTCCTCTGTTGCTTTCTTTGGGTCCGCGATATGGTTTATTTATTTATCTATTTATTTTGCGCGAAATATCGCAGTAAAATCGGTGCTCGCCCCGACCCGCAACGGAAAGAGAAAAACCAAAAAAAAAAAGAAAAAAAAGAAAACAAGGAAAAAAAATGCAAAAAAAAAAAAGGAAAAAAAATAAAAGGAATGAAATAAAGACACACTGGCCGAATATCCAGGCAAATAGGCGGATTAACATTCCAGAATCGGCACGGCACGGCACAGCACAGCACATCAGGATACGGAGCAGGCAGCGCTACGCTCCATCATGGCTTTAGGGGGGTTTCGGCTTTCTCCTCATTTCCTGTCTGTCTGTTTGCTTTTTCCACCACTGCCCACTCTCGGAGTCCACGGGAGCGGGCGGAAAACCTAACTTATTTTTTGCATTTTGTCTTGCTTCCTCTCTCCGTTCTTTTTTTCTTTTCCCAATCCTGCTCAACCTGCTCGCTTTGCTCACCACCCAAGCTCATTTTCCGAGCCACGTGTCGAGCTCTTTACCTCCTGTACAACGGATAACTATACGTGTTGATGCGGCCCATGGATGATAGGATGGATGGCTTTGATCTATGACGTAGAGTGCGTCCCATCCGTCTTCTCTGTGGGGGCCTTCAGCGCCCATAGTTTTAACCACTGGCCGTTAACGTTACAACTTTGTTAGTGCTTTGCCAAGCCGGTTTGCCAAATTTTATTTTTCATTACGTTTTCCCGTGTTGCGTATAACGATCCGGTCAATAAAATAGAATCCGATAAAATAAAATAGAAAATACCCCAAACTCCAGCTCCAACAACAGTTCTCGAGGCCCGAGGGCACAGGTGGAGGTTGAGCTAAGTACGTACGATGCATGCATGCATGTCTCGACGTATGTGCGGGAAGGGATCTGATTTACTCCCGTAAATTCTCGCCGTTTGCTGTTCACACAGCCGTTGTTTGGCATGTTAGGCTCCAAGTACGTACGGACGGAGCGCATACATTCTGAGAACAACGAACGCAGTGCGTATGCATCTTTAAAAATTATTCCGAATCCGCAAGGTATGGTTTCTTATTCACGGCTGCACAAAGAAACTCATTTAACTCATAGCAAACAAAATGGACTTGGTGCTTTTTCTTTATTCGAATTTACGTCCGCGTCGCTAAACAAACCCCATGGACGGGACAATTTCCTCCTGACTTTTCTCTCCTGGTTACTCCTTTTTTATTTTATTTTATTTTATATTTTGGTATTCTCCTTCTTTAAGACACCAGGATTTTCTTGAATTAATTTCTCTCCGAATTCCTTAACCTTGGGGAAAAAGCCCGGGAAGTCCCTGGTTCTCTCAGCTTTATCATCCAAGTTACCGTTACGGTTACCTCAGAGCCCAGACAAATCAAAAAACCCCCTCCCCATGCCCACCCCTTTTCGAGGGGACGGAAAAATAAAAAGTAAATAATAAACGCCCCCCTCGACCCCCTAAATAGGGGCCGCGTTCCATCTGTTCTTTTTCTCCCGAGGATCACCGGTCCAAATCCTTTTCCGATCGGCAATCCAGCATCTTGACCCAGTGACGGGCTGACACTCAAAGGTCGCCGACCACCACAGATCAACTCAACCATTAACAATTCCGTCATTCAACAATAGACAAGGAACATGTATATTTCTCTCTCTCTCTCTTTTATTTTTTAATTGTTGGTCCTATCAGTGGTTCAAATTCTATCTAGGTCTTAGTATTGTCACTGCGAATGGATACAGGCTGCCCTCTATAATTCAAAATCTCAGAAATTCCTGTCTTAATACTATCATTGAAAGCAGGATCTACATACTGTATACGGAGTAGATTATTTACTGAAAACTTATTGAAAATTGGATCTTGGATGATATCCTTTTCGGGGCCGTTACAGTATATGTCCTGGAGCTGTTTCAAAAGAAGCACCATGATGCTTTGGGAATTCACGGGGCGCTGAAAAGATCTGCAAACTTCCTCAAAAGTTGTCATTAAGTTAGTGCTTCGTTGCCTTCGTTAGATGCAAAAATTTCATGGTCATCCATAAAGTTGCGAATGCTCTCTCTGATCGAACCAGACAGGTTGGGCAACTTACATACCCTTTGCAGTCCTTGCAATAGACTGTGCATATAGCCAGCCATCCTATTAGCCAATTATTGACAGGCTATGATCGCCTTGATCGAACGATCAGAGGACAGCTAATGCTTTCAGCCAACCACTGAATCGTAGGCTCATCCGTTGCCCTAAACTCCTCGACCGATCATCTACTTTTCACCTCGACTTCTTCCACATCTCGAAGGATATTCTCTACGTACTCGCCCGTACCGCTGAGTTTGAGAACGAGAACGATCGCACGGTGAACTTTTGAGTATCAGTCGAGAGAAAAAGGTAGGTCAATAGTGCGGTTGGGTCTATGTAAGGCTAGGTGTGCGAGTAACGGAAAGTAATCGAACACCACAAATAGGACCCGTTCCCGTCTATCCGATCGTATACCGGTTGTATGACCCTTCCACAGATTCGAAATCCATTTCGAAGCCACGAACAGTTGATGGTAGTGGTGGGTTAATGTGCGGGTGTTTTTGGGACTTGTCGATATCTTGTCCGTCGATAAGGTGAGTGATTCCGGGTTCGAACATGCTCACAAAGAGTTGAAGCACATCCTCAAGTCACTCTAAATGGTCAACGTCAGCAGCGCAGAGTGTGCTCATGAGAGGATGTCCAAAAGAATTCCGTCTTTCCTGGTCCCCATGGAGGCCAACGAATGGGGAAGTGTGTGAGCAACTTCTAGACCCTCACAGTCACCTGGGTCGTTCTGAAGGAGATTCCCATCATCACCCTTACTCTCAATCCCTCCCTGCTTGATTCGCAGGTGCGCTTCAACCCTGTCAACCCTGTCGGACACGACACGAGGATGATGATCGCGGATAAAGACAGCTCTGCCTGAGGATGGATAGGTGTGGACACCCGCTTCGAAAATAGTGAAGGGAATGTCGATTGGGGTGTCCTCGCCGAAGAAGCTCTGGCTGAGTTAACGAGATGATCTATCAACCATGGGTGATATGTAACACCATAACCGGCTTACGTAGACAAAAGAAATTGTCAACCATGTGGTCGGCGAAATGTTTGGTAGCGCTCCTAATTTTGCTTTTGTCATCTGCATCAAAAAGGGAGACCCTTTTTGATATAGGTTAGCGCAAGAGAGATATCAGGCCCGATAGTATCCCTATATGCCAAATCCACATGGTCATGATGGTCACGGAGATACAAAAAGACCCAGTTCTAGAAGGCATCTTTTCATTGCACATGCAGATGCACATGTTTGAACTTGGCCTTGATGAGCATTGCGGGCATGTATCCCCTCCTGGCCCAGCTTGTTATGGGCCATAATCCTCCATCAGCTTGTTGAGAATGGCACTTGCTGCCGTCCTTTATTGCGAACTTAAGGAGAGAACCTTTCTAACTGTGAATTGTGTTGATGTGAAGCCATTGTTGGAGGCTTCCATCGTCTTACTGAATTATTTTTAGAGTGAAGGGCTCTCTTTTGGCAGGTCATTTGCCCCCCGAAGAAAATGGTGTAGAAAATTACCACGTTAACTAGTTAATGTCTAAGCCACGCCATCATATCAATTTATTCTTCAAATGCTCTGCTTCAATGTGCCACAGTGCCTTCAATTCACAGCAGAGGTGCAAGAAGCTCCATAGAAATTGAGAGAAGAGAAGAATTGAACCTATGATATCTGTCATTGAAAAACAAGAAATCTTCTTAATTCAGCTGCAGGACTACACAATATACTGTAATTTATTCTTATCTATAACTTTGTTACTGATCTATAAAAGTGAATATATGTTATAATCATATTATATAGTTCTACAGCACAGTTACACTTTCTATATGGAGCTTACTTTTTTAGCTGCAGCCCACTTCATTCAACACCTTTTGTATAAACTTCATTTGCTATCTGAGCTCTTATAATGTCTTCAGCATCTGTTAAGACCTCTTTTTATAACACGAATATTGACTTGTAAACTTAAGTAATCATTTAATATTTTTTTTTTCCAACTTCATAGATTTAAGAGAATTAATTTAATCATATCTCATATTTATAACATGAGATAGTTGATCTGTCACTTACTCATGAATATTATTCATTGAGTTAAAGACTCTTTTATATGAGAGATTAATTTATGATGTTTTTTTTAGAATTTGAACACATCATTTCTGAAGTCTATAAAGAGATGTTTATATGAGGAACATTATCTGACTTAGCAGCACTCAGATTCTAGTAAATTAACTATTTTTATAAGCTTGAAAGACCTGTACAAGCCCTTTCTCTTGAAATTTGAAGCTTCCATATCAGAAGTGATTGACATATTGAATTTAATAAGTTGAGGACGCATGAAGTTATATAGAGTGTTCTGGTAGAGGGTGAATTATATTAGGATGTAGCCCACAGCAGAATTTAACCATCAGTTCAGTTTTATATGCAGCAGGCAAAGCACATGAATCATGATGATTCTTAATCCATACACAAACGCAGGATGGGCCTAAACCCGATGGACAGCCATGCTGTTCCAGAACCGAAGCCCACGACTCTGGGCTGTCTGTCGAACTGATAAGCAAACGTGCCGAGCACGGTAGACATTGGGGGGCGCAAGAGGCACTATCATAGCTCAGAGACCGAGTTTTTCCATCCCCTCTTTCGTCTCTCGTGTAAAATATGCATCTGCCTATCTATGGATTTCTGGCGTCAGTTATCACATGAGAAACGAAGAGGGGACACCTTGGTTGAGCCGAAAAGAGACGCAGATTGTTTGACTAATTACCATGGCCCAGAGGGAGAGGGAGGAATGCTTGGGAACGGCTATTCCGATTGTCATCGAACTGGAGTATAAGCAGCTAAACAACCTTGCTCGTTTTATGGATTGCTTGCACAGTCATGGAGTTAAAATGAGACAAAAGAGAAGGATTTGACGAACGTCAATCCCACCTTAGAAATCGGCAATATCGATTGCGGCGTATTGGTTTGCAATTCTATTTTTTTTTTATATATTATTATTATTTTGTTGAATGAAATGGATAGCTATACATATGACTCTGGTCAGAGGTCTTGAACGCTCTGGATTTTTGGTTTTTATCGATGTATTCTCGAGGATGGTCGTCCTGATTTGAGCAAAGAAAATATTCTTCCGCAGCCCGAAAATTATGCAAGTTCTCCTTTTCCTTCTGGCAGGGAGGTTCTCTAAAAGCGCCGATTCATTGCACATGATAAAAATTTTCAGGGACCTCAGTTCAACTCATTGTCAGCGGGGCCTGAACATATTATTGCTTTCTAAGATCAAAGACATGTTGGGCGGCAAATCGAATATATTCGATAGGTAGTTATAGTGGTAGCAATCCATCATCATGCAAGAAGGAACTGAAAAAAACGTAAATTTATCGCAATATCAACCCTTTTGTTTAACACCAAAAGAAAAATTTTGACTTACACCTTTTCCACTGGTTTACTTGACCGCAGCAAGCACCTCCTCCTTATCACCATGTGATGTAAAGCTCTCGAAAAACCCAGGCCACATAAAACTCCACAGCAGCCTGGTGTGTCATTAGGAATACAATATCTCCGAACAATTGCTGCTGGAACAAGGACAGTCTCAGAAGATAAAAGGTGAAGGAAACCAGGTTAAAAGGTTGAGTGTCAACGTGTTAAGATATTGTTCGTATTCATACCACGGATACAGGAACAGCAAGTGGCTAGGGATGCTGTAAGAATCCCACTTGATTGCCAGCCGTAGGGAAGTTGATATAGCTGCCAAGGGGTAACATTTTCAGAACACTTGCTCCGTGTCTGATGGAGGTACAAGAAAATAGAACTGACGGTGGTCCTTGAGTTTTATATATGTATATATATAGTAATTGTAATTCGAAACGATAGGGTTTAAAGGCTTGATATGCTGTCGATGACAGGGAGCAGCCAAGCCTGCATTTTGCAAGCGAGAATCAAACCGAATTTATATCCTTTGGGATACTGGATCAATATCTGATCCGATGAGTAAAGAATGTAATGCTTTCTTATATTGATATCTGGTTTATTCTGGGTTGAGCCTAAACATTGAAGGTTGCCATACCATATGACATTGCAACCCATCATGCAACCATTCATCGAAGAAATGCCATCCATCAACCATCTTTTTGTGAGTGGTCTGAAGAAGTATAAGGGGAGATGTTCACTTCGTGTTTTGCACGAATCGCCAGCCTTCGGTGGATAGAGTTATTTCAATACCTTAGCTGAACATCAATGCGGTGACATTAAATGCTATAGATGTGAGCTATGATTTCTCCTTGAGCTAAAGAATAGGGTATAATGCTCGAACACAATGGAAAAGCAAACATTAGCCAGAAACATCAGTCTTAGCTTTTAGAATCTCTGAATGTTAAGAGGAGGAAGATGCAGTATTAGAAACAACATGACTAGCATGTCTATCTCTGGAATTAGGATGACAAAACAGAGGTAATTTGAGGCAGAATCGAAGAGCAAGCAAATCGTTGGGATAAAGGTTCGAACACTTGAAAAAACAAAAAGGGACGCACAGAGAAAGGCGGAAGGGACTTCATAAAAAAGATATGTGGGCTAGTTAAAGACGTGTATTTGAAGGGAAACAGGACGACGTGTGGGTTTAGGAACTGAGGGTAGAGGTCGGATAGTAACTGGTAAACAACGTAGTACCAGTTTATGGGGTTTTGGGCTCGGATTTCGCTGGGTAGAACCTGCGCAGCAAAAGTTGGAGATTTGTTACTATTAGGTTTACGTTTCGCATATTTACTTGAACTATCGTCATTTCGCGAGGTCCAGGAACAAAAGGGGGCAGCATAAATAATCTTTGAGGGTTGAAGGGAGGAGTAAACGAAGAAGGGAAACAAAATATTATGGACTTACCAAGCTGCCACGGAGATAATGAGAAAAAGAACCACTAACAGCACTCCTTCTAGCCAATTTGACTTGCCGTCTTGGATTAAATAATTTACCTGTTGTGGAACGAAGTTGGAAAGATGTTAATCCTGACTTGATGACAGAATGGGAGAACGACAGCCTTACTAGCAGCACAGTGACGAATAGTATTGCAATTTGAAATCCATCGAAGTAGAGGGTCTATGCGTAGAATTACATGGAGAAAATTAGTGATAAAACTGAAACAAGGAAGTTCGACCCTCACCATTTCATTGATCCCTGACGTTATCCAGATATCATTAGCAAACGACACACTTGAATGTTATGGACGTGGACCAAGAAAGGTGAAGAAATGATGGGCAAAACATACCAGCAATCCACCCAATAACTACGATAAGAGGAAGGACCAAGAGAGCGATTTGCATGCTGGAGCCCACTGCAACACCAATGGAGAGATCCATTTTGTCTTTAATCGCGACGGTAATGGCGGTTGCGTGCTCAGCTGCATTTCCAACAATGGGGATAAGAATCAAACCAACAAAGGTTTCAGAAATGTGACCACGACTCGTAATTGAGTCGATTGAGCCCACCTTCAGGGAATCTATTAGCTATCTTCTTCACGCTGCAATTGAATGGACAGGAACATGTAAAATGTAGGATGGAACGCACCATGGCTTCTGCGCAGAGGGCTACCAGTGCTGTAGATGCAGCAAGCGTAAATAAAGCCACCCACACAGTGAGCTGTGGTTCCTCATTTTCTTCTGAAACAGCGATGGAAACATGCTGAGCATTCCCTCCACCCATGCTCGCGGAAATGCCTGCCCCGATTTGCGCAATGTTTTTGCTTGCGTCGCCTGTTTCGACTCGCATACGTCTCTTTTCGACCTTCTCACTTGGTTTGTTGTACATTTCTGTGTGAGATTTAAGTTGGAAGAAAAGGTATGCTCCGTACACCACAAGGAGGATGACACTCGTCCCTAGAAAAATATTAGGATGAACGGAATGAGGATAATGAGAATCGGGTTTTATGGGGTATTTTGAAGTACCTCGTGACAGGGGAGCAATTCCAGTTTCGCCAGCTGTTCACGACGAAAAATTAGCGATTATATTGTAAAACCATTTAACGAAGAACGTACCACTAGACCATGCGTGAAACGCAGTTGGAATTATTAGACTTCCAACAGCAAGAGCGAGCAAACTGGACGCAGTATGCGCCACAGTGACGTTGAAGTTTTGTTCGATCCGGCTGAAACCTCCGAGGAAAAAAGCCATTCCAAGGACCAGTAATAAATTGGATAGCATGCTGCCGATGAGGGAGGTTTGGACAATGACAATTTCACGTTTAAATAAGGCCAGGAGTGATACAATAAGCTCCACAGCATTCCTATACTTTGTCAGCATGGATATCTTCAGAACGGTTAAAAGGTTGGCACCTACCCGAATGTTGCGTTGAGTAAACCACCAAGTGTTTCCCCTGTTCTAAATAAAAGTTAACGCAATATCGGTAATTTCAAAGATGACATGCATACCTGAGAGCAATTTCCTCGGTAGCATAACTTAGCATCGCAGCAAGCGGTCTATATTTACTGTTAACCAAATGGCTGTGAGGCTATCATGAAGTAGGTGACATACACAATGGCGATAAAATTGACAACGAAAATTGCAATAGGATCAACGTGGATATGATGTATCGCAACTAGAAATGAATTTAGCAAAACGCAATACGACATCAATGCAAATAAATTCAAAGACGTACTTCCAACGGGCACCATGATGAGTAAGACGTTAATCCAGGAATTAAACAGCGTCGCCTTCAGCTGCCCCACTGTCGTAAATACCTGTTTATCCTTTCCGGTATCCTTAGGTTCATCTGCTGAGGGTTTCTTTCTGCCAATTTCGAAGAATCTCCGTCTTCGAGGAGCGCCTTTTTCAGGTACATCCTGCTGTTGCTCTTTTTTAGGTGGTGTTGTAGGTGAAGCACTGGTAATAGATCCAACAAGTGCCGTTTCAATACAGCCAGTAACTGGCAGTCCTGGTACAAAGGGCATCGTATTTGCATGAATTGGTAGAGAAATATCGTTCCCCATTTCTTCTTGTCGCTCCTTTTCAGGCCTCGATATAGATTCACTTTCAGTTTGCGTATGCTGTAATCCATCTTCGACGCGAGATTCTCCAGAGCGGACCGGGCGGTGCCGGAACTTTTTGAAAGGATTCCGGTTGGGAGTATTTTTGGCCTCTTCATCGTCATACCAGGCCAGATTCCTGGCTCGTCGTCGGTGTATATCTGTCAATCCCAGTAAAATAAGTTCCAATTCATAAATGCAGAACAAACTTGCTCCTAGAGCTTTCTGGAAGTGCGTTACTGACGCATTGTTCTAAGGGTGAGGTGTTGCAAAATCTCACAGCAGCGGGGCTTAAAAGACTTATCAGAAAACTTTTGGCAAAACTACCAAGTCAATCTTGATATAATACACGAAATTCAAAGAGACATAAGTTTTGTATGAAATAAATTGGGAGAGAGTGTTGTTTAGACGCGTGCAAAGCAAGGAATAAATGAGTCTGTGTTGTGAAGATTATCTGCCCTTATTTTGAGATTGTAAAGGAGTTACGTCAAATGTGGCTTGACTGCTGCAAGGGTATAAAACATATGAAAAAGTCCTTAAGTCCAATTTAAAACTTGACCAGATGCAGGAATCAAAGACAGCACTGCCACTTAATAGACCAAGATACAAGGGACACGCAGCATCTTCCAAAACCAATTTATCTTTTGGACTGGTGATTGGATGCTTGGGATCAGCCACAGCAGAGGTTTTGAGTAGTGATCCTCCTGAGGTGCTAGGGAAAGTCTGAGTGCTGGTAGCAATTTTGCTTCTTCTCAAGTTCTTCCATAATAATCACTAGTGAGGTGAATCACAACTCTATCTATCTCCATGGTTGCCATGAAATTTGTCAGTTGGAGTATGTCTCTTTCAGCATGTTTTGTGTGTTTCCTGCAAAAGTTTTCTTTTGCTCTGTTGTAACTAAACCAGATTCATGCTGAATTCTTTGTAATTGATTCCTGCTAAATCCCATTGCAAAATGATGCCTAGAATATCCTGGACGACACAAGCAGGAGAATTACAGTAGGGTGGGCATATAGGTAGCATCCGACGTTCCAGCATGTTCAGCGCCCGAGGTGACAACATATCACCACTTTTACCTTCGCATCATCCGTGATGCGGACGAGCTGTAGAAAAATGACTGGAGTCTGGGGTACAGTCGATCATATAAGCTTGACTATGTTTCAGCCAATCAAACAAGGATCTTGGTTACAAATAAGCAATGACAAGCCACGCCTGTCGGGGACCAAGCGATGCTTGTCAAGTCTGGCTGTCTGGGCAACAAACTTGAAGCCATGCCGTGTCTTGACGTGTTTCAACGTAATGATTTCGATCTTGTCTGAAAAAGGTCAGAAGCGACTTCTTGCTCATGCATGCCCTCAAGCAACAAGAGAGCATATGAAGCCTGTTAGATTGTTCCAAGGTTGGCGAGAGGCTATGACTGGGAGTGTCGCTGTGGTTAAAAAGGAAAAAGCCCGGTAATGCGGTGAGAATTTATATGAATTACTAAACTCGGCCCCTTTTATTTTATTTTATTTTATTTTATTTTTTTTTTTTTGGGGGAGGGGGGGGGATCACACTTTGCGCATTCCTTTGCTTCGAGATTTATTATCCAAATCATCATTATCATGAATTGAGGTTGTTGTCGTTAGTTAACAAAATCCACGAGAGGACCCAAATTATATAATATATTACATAATTACATAATTAATCACGTGGAGCTCTAACTAGTTCTCCATCCAATCATGATCGCCATCAAGCGTCGAACCTCCCCAACGTAACTAATCGGCCTCAAATATATCAACCTCAGTAATTATATATGTATCAATCTTATTTTGATATCTCGGACTCCACTTCAGAGGAGGCCACCATGTGTGTCAAATAAACCTGATGTTGTATTTATTATGCGAGGGCCTTTAAATTAGATCATGCTGCCACCTGGGCCCGTCAAGGGGTCGCATCTGAGGCATGTGAGCGCCACCAGCATCGAGACAACTTCGACGAGGACAACTATTCCGCCCCAGGAGTCCGTATCTAGAACCCCGGACACAGATGGCCACAATCAGTCACCCACGGGACTCGGTAATCGCCTTTGTTCACTCTGGGTCCACGATGATAACTTTTCGAGAGAAGAGGTGCTTTTCAACATTAGCGCTTTCAGCGATGTAGGACTGAAGGTGGGAGATCTCGTTGAACTTTCGGTCCCGCGAACTTTTCAAGGGGATCATCATGTGTCCTCCCATACACTGGATCCGAGTGAGAGAGCGTCACGAGATGCTGGTGATTCCGATACTGGCTCTAATTCCGCTGCAAAGCGTAGTGGAGACCACAAGTCTTATTTTCCAGCTCAAGGAAGATTTCTATTTCTTGTCAAGCCTTTGTCTGCAGACATCAAGGCGAGGCATCCTAACCTGCAAATTTCAATTGCAAGTAATATAGCCAACATCTTTGGATTTAAGAACCATTCTCAAGCTCTGATATCTTTCAAGGATCGGTCACAGTGCACTGCTTCTCATGTTGAGCTGATTTTTCGAGATCAGTTTTCGGTGCGGGCTGATATGTGGAGATTGGCCATGTCAGAGCTCGCAGATAAACCTCTATATAAAGGCCAGAAGATTGTTTTTATGGGAAGCATCAAGGTAACCATTAAGTCCATTTATATCGGCGGCAAAAAGGTTCTATCAGGGTACTTTTCCCCGCAAACCATACCAGTTTTTCGGAGTGAATCTGCTCGATACGTTCTCTTCATTCAAATGTCCAAAGAGATGTGGGATTTTGATTCTGAAGGAACTGGTGATATCCTTTTTAGCAGGGTTATCAATAGCCTTCTCCCGGAGCTCTTCAAGCGATGGGCTGGCATTGATGCTCACCACCTTGTTACCATCGTTTTATTTACCAGAGTCCAGTATGAATTGATAACGGCAGATAACGCGAGGTTTCCGTCTAACAATGGCTTCTTTAAGCAAACTGCGAGTGATGCCCAGCCGGAAACTCGGGATTTTTACCGCGTCGTGGTTAACGACATGCCCAGCGGCAACTGGACGACTATCTTAGATGAATTAAAGAAGGAATTTAGAATCTTTCTCCGCGACGTATCTATTCCCCAATCGACTTTTCCGGACTCACCTACAGCGTCAGAGGACGAGTTACCAGCAGATCCAAATTCCCCCCCAGCAATATCTGGAAGGCCAACCTCAGCCCTCCGTGGAAATATTTTGGAAGCAATTAATATAGCATCATCTTACTTAGCGTTTGAGCATATCGGTCGTGACATGATCAGGACAGGCACCTCCATCGTTGTCATATCTCCTGGGGCAGGGGTTTTTGAAGTAGCTTACGACGCGCTGGCGTTGACTTCAGAGGTTCTCACTAGCCGTGCTATTGGGATTGACTTAATATGTCTGAGCCCCATGCCTCTACATTCAGTTCCTTTATTTAAATATCGCCTTCCCAGAAGCGGTGCATCGAAGCCAGATAGTTCCGTCTCCAGGGATTTTCTCCGCTCATTGCCTCCGTACTCTCACGAATCTCCCGGAAGTTTTTCCTATGGAGTCAGTCGTCGTCGTTCATCAAATACCACTTTGGGATCTTTTCTACAACCGGCCCATTTTGTTGAAGAATGGGCTTATGGTGTTCCTCATTGGCTTGACATTTCCTACTGGGATCTAAAAATTTATCGTGATAGCCGGACTGCCGTGAATACAGTCTTAAAGTCGTCAGTCTCTGGAACAAAGGAAAAGCAATCGAATACATTTGTTCCGCGAGTTAGGATGTATGAGATTCAGATGATGGGTGTTATGGAAAGTGAACAGTCCAATATCTCTGTACCTTACCTGTCCGCCGCTGATCTCCGCCTTCAAAAAGGCCTGGGTCACAGCATATCTCCGCGGGGATCTCCTCATAACCCTAATTTCTCAGATAATGCATCGGGATCCTTCATGTCATCCTTCAGAGACTCGAAAAGGAATATTCTATCTGTTCCTGCGAGGCAAAGAAAAATGTTGGAGTGGATGGACCTTTATGATAGCGCCATCTTCCATGTTACACCGAAACACCAAACGGTGCGACGACCTACAAAAGCCAAGCGGGTTGATTTTGGCACCTCAGCGCCTCGATTCTACGAGCAACAATCTGTCCGACCTTCTTCGAGTTCAATGAGTGGCAGCAATCCTACTACAAGCCCTCGTAAAAATGGTATGCGACCTGATGACGGACACTCAGACGTTCAGAATCCTTCCGTTGAACTGATGCCCGTCAAAAAATCAAGCATGAAATCAGGAACGAAACTGACTGTACCACGGATCTCTCGTTCAATTAGCTTTGCTTTGCGTGGCCTAGGATCGGCTCCTCCCAGAGCAATTGCAAGTACAGAAATCAATAATGAGCATGCAAAGGGTCTGTCCACCACAAGTATGAAATCTCTTAATGGAGAAGTAGAACAAGCTTTAAATGCGGACGTCAATTTACCCACATCAGATACTAATCCTAGTCCAACTACCGTTATCAAAAAGTCTCCCCAAATAAATATTACGACTTCTAGGGATGACAAAAATGTCATTCCGTCAAAACCAATTTCAATCCGAATTGCAAACAAAAAATCAATCGAGGAACATAGTATGGATCCTCAAGGTCTTGACATCTCCTTTTCGACCCCCACCATAGGTGTTCCCTACTATCGTGGAACGAGTGAGGAAGTCCATGGGCCATTTCCAATGACACGGGGAGTTCGTAAATTCGATTCAACGCTTAATGCAAACCAGGATGACCCAACTATTACTCTATCTCCGACAAAGGCACTATCACCATGGATATTACCCGTCAACCCCTGCAAACCACCGAATCATGGTCCCACACTATCCATCTGGTTTGGTCGTTGGCGGCACGTCTACCCGCGCATGCAAAGGGGCACTTCATCTATGAAATGGAAAAGCCTGAAATCGCCAGCATTTCTCCCACTGACAACAGAAGAATTTCCAACGAGTGAAGAACTGGCTTCCCAGTACTTTCAGACTCCATACAGAGTATACCAGAATGATGAATCCGATGTCGCAGAAACTCCCAGAACTCGGGAGGCCCTCTTGCGAGAAATGGTGGCTTTGCGCCTTTCTCACGGTTTCCAAATCGTTGTTGGAAAAGCAGTGGAGGAAGCATCAGGCCAGCATTCATCGGAACCGCTGAATATATTCGACACCCGATCCTTATCACAAGATGGGGTGACTATTTTCATGTCTATGGGCAACATCATTCATAGGTTAGTTTGTGTGACTGGAGGGGAGATAGAAGTCACACGGTTCACACGGAAAACGGTAACCAGCCTTCTTGCTGATGCGCAGTCTTTTTCACTCAACTACACACCTGTTGTCAAAACAATATTGAGTGCAAACTATTGCAAAAATACTATAAGTTTGCAATTGCCGCAAGAAGATTGTAACTGGAATTATGCAGATGCCTTTCTGGCAGGTTACAGGGACCACATAACTAATTGTACGGAACAACTGCGTTCTTGGCGCACGCGTTTTGTTCTGATACCAGTCCAACTACCTGCAAACGCAAGACGTCCAATGCAATCATATAAAGAGGACAACGAAGAAGAAATCCATCTCCTTGGGATTACCCAACTCACTCAGATATGGCAAAGGCAGAGATATGTTCCCCCAGAGGAAAAACGACTCCAGCCACCAACGAATAAAAAAGACTTGAACCCATTGAATATTATATATCAGACGAGCAACCCGTCTGAGGTCGTTGCTGCAGAACTTGATAGGCTATTACTGGACGATCCAGGCCTTGATAGCACAGCAGTGCAGCTTCTACCGGAGTCTGAATTACTTCAAAGATCCAACATCAGCCTTTCCGCTTTGGCGCAGGCTATACAGGGCGAAAAAGGGGTGAGAATGATGGATCGAAGATGGCATTGGCGCCTTCATTATAATTGCTTTGTTGGACTGGAGTTCACTACGTGGATGCTCCAAAATTTCCGTGATATCGATACTCGTGAGGAAGCTGTTGAATTTGGTAACGAGTTGATGAAACATGGCCTGATTTGTCATGTTCAGCGGCGTCATAATTTCAGGGACGGCAACTATTTTTATCGAATTACCGACGAATATCGAGTGGCACGGCCGGAATCTCGGAGTAGTTGGTTCCAAGCTCGCAAGACCATTCCAAATACACCCATGACAGATAACGTGAAGGATCTGCCTTCAACTGGCCAAGAAAGGCTTGAAAAGAGCTCTGCAGAATCTGGCAGCCGGGAGGAAACGCCTACTCCGAACAAGCCTACTCGAACGAAAGCCTCGGTATGCCTGTCAAAGTCAATGAAGATTGATATCGACCCTCGTAAGCGATCGAACCGCCCTGAAATAATCGACCTCCATTACGATCGCTTGCACAATCCGGATAATTGCTTTCACATAGAACTAAGCTGGATGAACGCAACACCCAAGTTGGTGGAAGATTCAATTGTGTCATGGGCAGGCACTGCAGAGAAGTTTGGCCTAAAATTAGTCGAGTTACCAATATCTGAAGCCTCCTCTATTGTCGAAACTCAAGTTTTCAGGCGTCCATACCCAGTGAAGTTAGCGATTGAGCCTCCAGAAGGCCCTCAAGCCACCCTTTATAATTCTACCTCTTTCGCATCTCAAGGCGCCATCGACCGTCACTTTTACCATAAGGCAATCTTGAAGAAATTCGATTTCGTCTTAGATTTCGAAGCCGCCAGTGCCTTCCCTCCTGATGTAAATGTATCTTATTCTTGGGGGCGACCCGACTATTGCCTCCCACAATATGTCCACCGGTCGGGCGCTATCCTCGCCCAAATAACTGACGACGGTTGTTTCCTCTTCCTTGCCAACAGGCTCTATAGCATTCGAGGTTCCGCCGCCAAAGAATCCGGCCGGTATGATCGAAACGAATTTTACCGCCCGCGCTCTGCTACATACGATGCCTTAGACCGCACTGGATCGCCGCATTTATCGCCTGTCGTTCGCGCAGCAGTTGATACCACATCGGCTGCACCTCCTCAAACCGAACTCCACTCCTCTTACCAGCTTACAAAGGAGATCGGGGCTGAGATCAAAGCATTCTGTGGTGATGCGGAGAAGTTAGAGAGGTTTTTCGAGGAAGCGTCAGTCAACGCGAAACACGCTTCATCCAAATTTAGCCCAACCATTCCGTCCATGACGGATTCGTCAATTCCTACCTTGGAGTTACCAGCAAGCCTTGTTGAAACACATGTTTCTCCCCCACAGATTCCGGATGTCCAGCAGGCTGGTGAGGAGTCCACTTAAATGAAGACGAGTGATACTACCAGTCCTCAGGCTGAGGCTAAGGTGCTGAGGCTGTCTCCGTCTTTGAAATGAATTTGGCTTTGGTGTAATACCGGTTATTAGGCAGTTTGTTGTCTGCGTGATCTTTTCGTATCTAGACCCCTGTGATTGCGTTGGTGTTAATTTTCTGTTCATATATATATCCTCAACTGTCTCTTTCTCATTTCTTTTCGTATTGTTTTTTGAATTATATTTTTTAGGTATGTAGGATACAAAATGTGTTTTGGGTTGTCCTCTTAGTTGACATGTGTATGTCCTTCCCCAATTTACGGGGAGTATGATCTATATATACTGATACCGTCCATACAATTCATTGTCTTGGTCTAAAGTGCGCTCTCTTGATAGCTGCCCAAGAGGCGTCACCATTCCATGTCGAATAGGAAAACGCGACTGAAAGTAGAAAATACAAGATAATATATATATATATATATATATTTGCACTTGCGTGAGTATTCGTTAAATAGAAATAAATGATTTCATGATAAAAATTTCATTGCCCACAATTTCAAATCTCCCACTCCACATCTTCCGAATCAACACTCATATATTCCATATCTTAGGCGCATTGCATACAAGAAATCACCCAACATTTAACATAGCTGGTTGAATAACGTCAATTATGAAACAGCAACCATGAGGCGCATGAGAGGATTATATGTAGCAGTTCCATGCCTTCGACTTTTCTAATTTAAAACCTTTCACCACACTTCAGCTGATGCAATTCAGATCCCGAAAATCCTCTGATAGAACGAATCACAGCGGGGAATATTGAGAGTGTGAGGCTTATAAAATGTAGATGCTGTAAAGGAAGAGCAAAACTAGAAATAATCTGATAATAAGATGATGGTAAGGTTTGATCTGGATTGTTGTATGTATGTAAGTAAGTAAGTATGTATGTATGTAGATAGTCGTTAGATGCTGCCGTAAAATTAACAAAAATATATGGCCTTTAAAACTGCTGAATGCAATAAGTTGTTGCGACAAAAGGCGCTGGAATGTAGGACAATTATAAATAGCGTATGAGGCGGGAACGGTTTGAAAGGGGAAGTTTACAAATATTGAATCGTGCTGAAACTCCGCCACATGGTAGGCCGTGATTCAAAACGGACAAGTTAAAAAAACAAATAATGCGAGAAGGTAGGGTATCATATGCTCTGGAACAGAATATTGAATAAAAACACATGTGGTCTTAGGACGCCTCCCGGTTCATGAGTGTTGCAGAGAACACTACACCAGATGATTCAAAATTTCATTAGGCTGAGAGCGTTAAACCGTGAAAGCTGGGATATGTGAAAAAGTACAACTGCAAGTTAAATGGATAAGCCAAAGAGACCAAGAAATCTTGGGAATAAACGTAGATATGAGAGAGTAACGGATTGATGAGTGTGTAGGTTGCTATCCTTAGCAAGCTTCTTCGATGTCGAGCAGCCACTTTCTTATCCCTTCTCTCAGGGTATTGGCTGTAGCTGCACTTGCACCCCTTTGTTCACGGCCTGAGGGTGTCTTGGTGGCATCGCCAGTTGTAGAAGCTGGATCTTGCTGGCAGCATTCAGCGGTCACACTACGAACAACTTCCTCAAGTGCACCGAGGACTATCCGTCTACATTTATTCCGCGGAACCTCAGCAGATGGTGCATTCTCTAGTTGTGGATGGGGCGATTGCTTATCTCGCCCGTGGTTACCGGGAGGTTTATCTTTGCGACTTCGGTTTGGAGACGGCGCTCTAGAATGAGATAGGGACGACTCTCCACTCCGGGCTAAAACCCTCTCAACAGCATCAACAAGAGTTGGGTCAAGATCCATCACTGGTTCCTCGATAAACATCTCTTCCACTTCAAACGAATCGGCTTGCTGTGACAATGGAGAGGTAGGTATCTTGGAAGCCATTGAGGAAAAATTTGGAAGTTGAGGAGTGGATGAAGGTGTTTCGGAAGGGTCGAGCGACGTTCGACGGGAATTATCTCGAGATTCAACTGCCGTTCGGGGAATGATACTGGATATCTTTCGCCGCAAACGGAGCTTCTTCACTGTGAAGGTTTTCGTATCTGCAACGAGCGTGGTGCAAACTTCGACCCATTTCTCCGAGTTCGATCCGTATGACTCACAAAGGGAAGTGGATAGAGCCTGAGGCGGGGTAGGCTCACTCGACATGGAACGTTTGATATCTGACTCCAAGGTGTTATACGGATGGACAGCCTGAAGAATAAAATCCTCATGGTAGCATCTCAACCAACCGGCTACATTGACGCTGACCCCATCATAATCTTTGGTAGGACCAGGATGGAATCCAGAACCAGCACTGTGGACAGAAGCAGCAACATCAAAACTAGCTACTGAGGTGCGCGTCTTTTTTGGCGATGCTAGAGTTGAATCTCCAGAAGAAGAGAGGGAGATAAATCCAGGTAACGGTACCTCAACATCGATAACCCCATCATGCAATCCAACCGACAGTTTCACGGGAGAGCTAGGGGTTTGTACGTCAGACTTGGATTTTTGTTCACATGAACCAGAAGATCCAGATAGACCCAAGTCAGCAGAGGCTGTTGCGATAGGCATATTTTCAGCTGTGTTAGTAGCATTTTTGATAATGTCTTCTGCTGATTTGCCGGATACTGCCTCTGGCTTGACTTGTTGCACGTCAGCTTTAGTAATGGACGCGCTTCTTTTTGAGCGTCCAGCCGCTGATGAACTACCCTCATTCTCAGAAAAAGTCTCACGTGTACCCCAGAGACCGGAAAGTAAACCACCCCATCTACTAGACTGGAAATGTTGGCCTCCTTCCGAGATTAGATTGGAGCTTTCGCTTCTACGGAGATTCTGTAATAGGTTCGCTGAGGCTGCACTTCCAGTAGGGTCCAAGGCTGAACTCCTCCCTTCGCCCGCACCATGTTTACATTTTTGGGATGCAAAATGTGGAACTGGGGTTGCAGTGCCCGGTGCCGCGGTAGCGATGGTAGCGGTTGCGCTCTTTCTAGTGCTAGCGCCACTTGACGGTATGGGTAAGCTGGCCGTCCGAATAGATCGAACATCAGAGTCTCTCCGGAATTTGTAATGGTCAGGAACCGGTTTCACGAAGTCACCATCATCTAGGGGTATAACTGCGGCTTCATTCGATGAAGCACTTGGTGATCGTCTATGTCCGTCATTTTCATCGTCATTAAAATGGCGAGCTCTAGCACGTCTATTTATTGCACGACGGAGAGATTCCTTCCTTAAAATGGGAGCGCCAGGGGGACTTTGGGAAACAAGCCGCATCGAGGTGGATGTACTAGGTCTTAAGGGGGATCCAAACGCATCTGGTCGTTGCTGCGCAGGTAAGAATGCGGAAAGAACAAATATCAAACGTCTGGCAGTCATTTTATCAGTTGAAACAATGACTGTCCGGCTTGGTATGCTTGGTTCCGCATCCTGATGAGCCCTTTGCTGTAGGTGGTATCGTCGTCTATACCAGTCGGGCCCAAGGGAGCTTAGCCATTCGGTATGATTTCCCAAAAATGCAGTAAGAAGTACGAGGAAGAAAAAGTTGTGTTCCTTATCACTCAGAAATTTGGCGATCCACCGGGCTTCTTCTCTCCACACACCCCATCGACTCTGCCCAGTTGTAACCTGGGGAATTCGAAGTGCCATGCTGATCCGCTGAGAGGCGCGCATGGCTTCAGACCTAAGGTTCTGCTTCCCTGATAAAACCCTTGGGGGAAGCTGCACAATAGTCTGGTTCGTTCGCTGCATATTGGATGCTTTGGCAGGTTTGGGTTGCTGGGTTGAAAAGTAGTCGACCCTCTGCAGCATGACAAGAATTTCCATACGCGCAAGTTTCTCGAGATGTGACAATGTGCGAGTTATGACATCCCAATGATCAACTAAGAAATCAATTCGTTCATCTAGGCTTGAGGTTGCGGATAGCCCGGCATTGTCGTCAAAGAAACTACTGCTGTACTTATGATCTGAATCAAGGGAAGCTGAAATCCACCCAGGGGTTTGTCTCTGAGCGTTCCATTGAGATGATGGACGACCAGGACTGCGCCCAGCAAGCGGTAGCTTAATGGTGATAGCAACTGCGTACATGGGAGTTTTCTTTTCCTTGATTTTTTTGCGTTTCGATGGGTCCAGAAGAGGGATTTTCGAGTCCTTAAAAGTTTGAGCAGTTGGAGATGAATCTTGATCAGTTTGATCCACAGAAGGATCGCGACCCTCTGGGAGGTTCACGCTGAACATCCTCGTCACAAGGACCGTAATTCTCGTTGGATTCGACCTCGTGTCACGAACCGTGCCTAATCTCTCCTGGGACAAACCAGACGAGTTGGAACTGGGCCCGCTTGTATAACCACGGGTGAGAGGAACACGTTGACGTGGCCCGTGAGAACCGAATCCTTCAACATCTCCAACTGACTCGGTTTCCGTTGGAAGTATATGCATTTTCGTAGAAGAGCCCCGGTAGCTGAAAGCACTACTGCCAAAAATACAGTTTAGCAGTCCAGATTCTGTTGAGTCAGCCGACATGCGATTTTGATAATGTCTATTATCATCTGCAGCGGGTGACAATGTTGAACTTCGATACCTCGCACGGAATAGTGCGCTGGACATAGGCGAATCGGGTTCTCTAGGGCTTAATGACCCTGTAGATTGGTGTGTATCGGATGCATGAGGTTTGTGTGATGGGTCCCTTTTAGTAGATTTCGAGAGGCTTGAGCTTCGAGAGTGGGTGTATCTAACCTCAGGAACTTGGGAGTTCAGACCAAGTCCAACAGCCCCTGCTATCGGGCTGAGATTTTGGCTGTCGAGAAGAATGCAGGGTTCATCGCGATCCCCTAACGCGTTTTGAGCAATGATAACTCTGAAATCTCTTGTAGCATCCAATTCGAGTCCCCCTCGATCGTCGAAGCTGCTCGCAGCAGAAGCGTTTGGTGATAAAACACTTGTTTGTAGTGGATAAGCATGAGTATTCGATCGTCGGAGATGGGTAGAATCTGGGAACAAGAGGCCCGAAGTATGCTCTTCCTCAGTCACGGATTCAAGTTGAGAAGAATTCCTGGAGGCGTACGCAGCCGGATTGAGCGACGACGCAGCCGTATTCAGAAGTCTTCCCAGCATTGTGAGCGCTCGAGAGGGTAACAGATACAAAAGGTCTAATGCGGACAGATAACATCAAGCAACCTAGAAATGTCGGTAGGGTGGGAGCCTCCACATGATATCCATTTGGGTAAAACCATTGTTTGTTCAAAGGTCAGCCTGAGGATATATGGTGCGGGGAGACCGGGATCGTAGGGCCTCAAGAGGCTATTGCTCCAGATAGACGATCTGATGGCGATATGACGGCCAGCCGTACGCTCAGAGACAGGGTGCAAGGCAGATTACTCGGACAGAGCCGAGTGCGACCCTCCAGAACACCAACAGCCGGTTTGTGGAACAGGACGGGGTTGATGCCAGGCGACTTGATGATGGGGGTTAAAGTTGGAAAAAGCCTTGGTGACGGGTGGGCAACAGTCGGGAAGAAACGTCTCAGCCAAGAGGCGGTGAAGAGAAGCTTGGTTTTGGTGGCGGCAACTAGCTAAGCGATCTGGGAAGGGGTTCACGTGATATCAGTCCGGTTTCCAACCGTTCACGTCGTCTTTTCGACCAGGCCTGTATGACAATTGTCGGAATTCACGCTTTGTGCTGTACTTTCATATGGCGCGGTCATGCCAAATCTCCGCGCCGTGTCATTCTGCTTCTCTTACACACACACACAATGCCCCTGTTGAAGACACACTCCCGGTTGATTTCAAATGTCGGTCACTTTCCAATCTGCAATATGCAGCAGCTAAGATACCTGTCACAGAATGCTTTTATCTGCAGGCCCTCCACCGCCTGTTCCTTCTCCAAGACACGTGAATCAGGGGATTTTGTAGTATGAGTTCCTTCAGGTCATGTCATCTCATCCAACCATCATCAACCTCAGTCACAATCTTTTGTGGATGACGACGATCGGGCCACTTGGCTCCTATTGCGGTATTTTGCTCGTCAATTACCCAATGAGTGAGTGCCTTGCAGTAGCAATTGCTAGGACCGCGCTGTTGGGAAGTTCTGGTGATTTGAAGGCAAGGCGATTGTATCTCTCACATCCCGCCACATTTAATCGTTGCGCTCTTGTCTTATTTCATTCTTTTCAAGCCTTATTATTTTTTGAGCCCTTTTGTGAGTTGGGGGAATTGATAAATACAGTCGATAAATACAGTCGCTACCCCGGCTAAATACGCTCCTCAATAATACACTATTCTAAATCAAACATAGTGTATACACGGCTGTACACCCAAAATAACCAGCATCCCATTGTCGTTGATATGTGCCCAACCCTCAATTCATCACTAATGAATTAATCTGAAATATCTACAAAATCACTCTCCCCCCAATCCACCTGTGCCAGGCCTTGGCTCTGCGTATGGCAGCTCTGCGGAACCAGGCTATTCTTCGATGAATCAACTTTCGTGTCCTGTTCTCCTCCCAAAACATCAAAAAAACACCCTGTTTATCGCCCGAGAAGTGATCTCATAGTGGTATTTTCAGACAGTTCGATTTCTCTGAGGTTAGAGTGGCAGCTCATTTTCTTGAAGATTCTTCAAGGGCTGCACTGCAGGTGCTGTAGAAGAGGGGTTAGCACTTTCACCGCCAACTGCCCACCCAGCATCTGTCATATAGATAGGATGCTGCTCAGCAGCGGCAGGAGTGGCTGTGAGATGTTTACGTTATTCACCCTCATATCAAGCTCCTGTTCTTTCATCTCAGTGCACATGGGCACCCTGTGTATAGTCCTCCGCCCTAGGTTCCATTCCCTGATCAGTGCGTTTGGGCACATACCGACTACGTTGGAATGCTACATAGTAATTTTGGGTGCACGGCTGTGTATATACTATGTTTGATATAGAATAGTGTGTTTTTTGAGTAACGTATATAGCCGGGGTAGCGACTGTATTTACCAATCCCGGTGTGGGCAAATTAGCAGATTAGATCTAAAGCGTATATCGTTGAATGACCAAGCGGAACGACGGGGAAACAGACAACGTGACGCTAGTTAGTCGTGGCACCATCTCACCTTAACAAGCGCTGCCTTACTTCTCATAAACTTGGAAACATCTTAATTATAGGCCTAATTCAAGAACACAGGATGGGTCGATTTAGGCAGCAACTGCAAAAGTGGCATCCCAAGAAAAGTTGTATCACTCCCGGATGCCGACATTGCTGCGAAGTTTTGACCAATAGCCAAGTGCAGTCGCTCCGATCTAGTATTAGCGAAAGAATCCGGGTCAGTGGATGCGAGGATTTGTGATTTGCTAGAAGACGTCGTTGGAGCAACAAAAATGGGAAAAGGAGCAAGAAGGGATATCAGCTCGTAGAAATCAAGCCCCGAAAGGTCGAAATATTGGGTCGCAAACGTTGTTCGAGCATTTCATCGTGAATGTTCAAATTGCCAATAGAAGCTCAGAACAGAACTGTTTCAAATGCGTGTCTTCATAATTAGTTGCGATGATTGCGCCAGGGAAGCAATGCTCGAGTCTGGATCAGTTTGTGATTGCAACGCCACAGTAGACCAAATTGCCTCTTGTGATTTCGCCTGAATCAGTCATCCTCCCAAAAAGCCAGGAAGGGCAGAGAACAAGGGGTGACAGATCTGAACTGGGTGAAATATGCCGGCAGTGCATGCCGGGAACAAATATACGGCAATTAACTCGTCTCTGATGGGCTGGTTCGAGAAACCCGCGTTCCCCCCGAAACGAAAGCAATGATATTCACTCAATTTCTTGAAATAGCTGATATTCCCAGCGTCATGTGTGACGAAAACCCTCTTGTGCTACGTGATTGGTGAGCTCTATCAAGCTCTCTCTCCGTTTTCAATCCGCGCCTGTGTTTAGTCACTGACCGTGGGCCGTTGAAGCACACTGGCAAAATCTCCTCGGTAGGCGAGAACAGGACAAAAAGAAATTTTCTAGTGATACAATGGTCCGCATTTTGATTAGCACCCTCAGGACTGGGGGAACTGGGCTCGACCTTACTCCAACAAACAGATGCAAATTGGTTGATCTGTGGTGGAATGAAGCCACCGACATTCAGGTATGCACAGAAGGCGCAGAGTCTTCAGAAACAAGTAACTATTCCGAGATCTCTGACGCCCCTTAGAGTGACTGAGACATGCTAAAGTTCTGCGAGTCAAACTGAAGTGCTTGTATTTCGACTGCTGCTTGTCGGAACGGTCCCGTTTCGTCGGGATCTGATATTCATAAGATTTCCAGATACTGAGAGTATTGGAGGCTCCGCAGGGGTTCGGGCATGCTGAATAAATAGTTTCTTTAGCCTCTTCTTTCATTTCTTGGGAGCCAATAGGGGCATACGAATGCTATCCTAGGCAGAGGCGAGCGTGCTATTTCTCTCTAGATATCCTATTATTCCCCTTGAGTTTTCTGTTAATTAAGCTTTCTGATGTATTTTGTTATCTGGGTCGAGACAGGGCTGTGCTTTACACATTCAACATTTCAACCAGCTGCCGAGAACCTCTTCAAGTTGAAGGTTTGGTCTGACCCTATTCCCCCCGGCTTTGGTCTGGCTTCTCATTTTATTATTTGTTTTTTTGTCCCTCTTTCATCGCTCTGCTTTGAGTAATTTCTTTCCCTTTTGTTTCTTTTTAGTTATTTTTGGGGAAAGGGAAAATGATACTTGCTCGTGTTGGATGTCCACTTCCTGGACGGCGGCAGCGGAGCAACCTCGTCACTTTTTGTAAGGTTAGCTAGCCAAGAGGGTAGGGCATGCGGTAGACATTCAAATTTATTTCAATCTATTTCGTTTCTAATCTCACCACTTTATATCCGTGTTCCCTGCTGGACGTCAGCACAGCCAGTATTTGAACAAGCAGGGAGTCAACTAGACTAACAGACACCCCATCCCGTTTTTAACAGCCATGGGTATTAACCCTCAACAAAACTGAACATCCACAAAACTTGAGATGAATAAAAGAGAAGGGAAAACATTAAAACAAAATATCAATTAAATCTTCGCCGATACGCAAACTGTAAATTGAGCCCCATAATGCGCCCCCAACCCCAACCGCGAACTACCCTAACCCAGACATGCTTTCTCATATCAATCATCAAAGCTCATACATAGGAATAATGAATGCTGCACAAGTTTGTCGGACTTGATCCTTGGAAAGGAAAAAATAGTCTAATATCGGGTATTACATCTCCTCAATCGCACAGTTAGGGTGTAAGACGTATACGACCCTTTGTTCATCTTGTCGTTGTTGGTCATCGGACTCGACAAGCCCCTCACCTCGAATGACCATGAGAATATTATCCTAGCGAATTACAAATTTTCCATGTTAGTTTTTCGGGCTTTTAAAACCTTCAAAAGGAGAGGGATGTGTGAATCGATTTGCAGGGGTGCAAAAAGGCAAACTGACCTTGACCATCCTCTTGAGTACTTTAACGGCCAAGGCCCTCTCAGCCTCCATCTCCTCTTCGCTATTCAGCTCAGATTCAATTTGCTCTAGATACCAGACTATCAGGTCCTCCTGCTCGACACCTTCTCCCGCATTGGCCTCATCATCGTTTACTCTCCGGACAAGAATATTAAGTATCCGCATATATTTGTCGTATGTAATCTTGGTCTTCTGGGTTTGGGGCTGCTGAGAAGTGGCCCCAGGGCCATTGACATAATCATCATCGTCGCCTGTACGCATTGGACTATCTCCGTCTTTGTCATGTTGAGCTCCATCTTCTTGGTTATCGGCTTCATCGTCGACTTCCACGTCATCTTTCTCAACTGTCACGATGCTCTGTCGAAGGAGGTCATACGCTTCGCGGACAAAGTTAGGTACGATTTCTTCCACACAGTTAGCCTTTGCGACGGCCTCGGATAACCGAATCAAACTTTCCAATTGTCTGACTGTAATTCGATAACTACTCCTTCCCAATCCGCCTTGTGCATCATTTGCACGCAGTTCCTTGTATTTCTCCACAAGCAATGCCTTAGCTTCTGGAGTGAATACAGGACGGAAAGTTCGAGCAAATCTGATATACCGCTGCAGCTGCTCGGTAGTGAGATCAGGCTCTATCGCAGCGTCGCGATTCATATGAACATTGACAATATGTTCTGCAAGATTTCTATCCACAGCTTCGTTTGGTTCATCCCGGATGACGAAGAAGAGATCAAAGCGACTCATGATGGGGGCGCTGAAGTTAAGATTTGCCCGCAGAGTGGTTTTGGGGTTATATCGTCCACCAATAGGGTTTGCAGCAGCAAGAATACTGGCGCGCGCATTAAGCGTGGTATGAATACCGGCTTTGGCAATGGAGATGGTTTGCTGTTCCATTGCTTCATGGATGGCGACTTGGTCACTAATATCCATCTTGTCAAACTCATCGATGGCGCAAATGCCTCCACCATTCTATATAAAAAAAAAAGAAAACATGGGTTAGAATCCACCAGAGATATGTCGGAAAAAGGCCTAGAAACTCACTGCAAGCATCAAAGCTCCGGCTTCTATCGTAAATTCACCAGTTTCCGGATCTTTGACGACTGAAGCAGTTAAGCCGGCGGCAGAGGAAGCTTTTCCGCTAGTGTAGACGGCTCGAGGATTGAGTGAACAGATATACCTTTCATAATGTTAGAACGGCACAGTTGGTAGTGAATACTTCAAGTGACTCACTTCAAAAATTGACTTTTACTCGTGGATGGGTCTCCAACGATGCATATGTTGATATCTCCTCGGATTTTCATGCTTTCCTGTTCCGTTATCTTCGACACTCCTCCTATTAGTTGCAACAGTAACCCCTTTTTAATAGCTCGATGGCCATAAATCATGGGAGCAATCGAGTCCACTAGCCTAGAGTATATGTATTCAGAATGCACCAATTGCTTAAGATCTTGTACTTCGTAGGGCGTAAGTGTTTGGAGAAGACGGTCTTGCGCCTGATCTTCGTAGTCCTCTAGCTGGTCGGTTTGGTTTAAGGATGCAAGAATGTTTTGCGACTGGCCATTCAATTGCTGAGAGGTTGGGTGACCGGGTGTGGTAAGATCGGGAGTTACCATGCAGGCAAGGAATGCGAGACGGTATGTAAGGTCACGAACTCCCAGTGATTTCAAGCCGCTCACACCACTTCCGCCAACATCGTTACCGCGAAAGTCCCCATTGTCTCGAGTTGCTTCTGGTCGGACTCCAGGGAGACCAAGCTGGCTAACGTCCGGTACGGCAATGAGTGTGCCAGTGAAAATACACCTCTCTCCTGCCTTAGCTCGGTCAACCATCTCTCCTCGTAAGATAATATCCATGGTACGTGGCATGCTGCCAGTTGGGATTTCATGGGATGATTCCTGCAATTTCACTTTCTGCCAATCGACAAACGTGCTCTGACGGATATCCAACCGCCAACCGATGCGGTTCCCACAAGTAGGATTCGGACATTGCGATGGTTCGGTATATTTGAATGTTTGCTCGACTTCCTCAACGGCAGTGCTACAACTTTCGCAAATAAAAGTCCCTAGGGCAAGCTCGGGACGCACTTCAGAAGTTCGAGTTACAGTTCCAGATATTGACAACAATTTGCCTATCTGGTCAGTTCGGAGTTGTCGCAGTCTCGACACCAATGGTAGGTTATAAAATGCCAATGAAAACACTTTATCCGTTTGTTGATGCCTTGTCTTTTCCGCCAGTGAGTCAGGTTCGGTGCTGTCAACCGCTAAGGCTGAGGTGCTGGCTTGGGACGACGTGCTGTTAATCTGCCTGTGTTCTCTGAAATATTGAGGCTCATATTTCGCAATGAGGTTGTGAAGAGCTTTGGTCAGGTAGGGTTGGAATCGGTAATACTGATTGGCAATGGCTTCAGCCAGAATCTGGTTCGGGAGGGAAGTCAAGTGGGTAAAATCAACGTAGAGAGTCGAAAGCTGGTATCGCTGTAAACCGTGGATTTGGGCAATATAGTATTTATCGCTAAGTATTTCGGATGATGGGGGTACGCCGGAGAGTGAGGGCTCTTCAATATGTGTTTCTAATAGCTCTTCGAAAACCTGCTGCACCTTTTCACCAGCAAGGTCTTGGACAGGTGGGGGGCCTCTTCCGTAGAGCGGATGTCTTGGGCGTCTGGGTAATGAACCTCCAGGGCCAACCACTTGATCATCGGCAAACCCTTCAGCCTCGCTCATCTGGCCATTGCTCTCTGACGGTGCGTGAGGTCGGGAACTTGGTGGGTGGTCTGAGGATGGGAATGACCTTTCTCTGCCTCCAGTATTGGAGCCCAGTTCGGACTGGAGGATAGCGTCAAATAAGCTAGACATGATAACACTGGAGATCTGCTCCTAGAATAGAAAGCTTAGAAACAGTAGCACAGTGGGATCTGACCCTCGTAAAATTTAGAATTCCCGGGCCTTAAGCAAATTGGTGGAATAAAATGATTGGCAGCAAATTGGGTTGTTAACCCGAACAAAAAAGTGGTGTTGGAAGAGAAAACGCGTCAAAGGCGACATTCGCGTCACGGAATTACTACGGCCCGGGAATCACGCGTAAAGTAGTTTTCGTGTGGCTGCTTAGTCATGATATTTAAACATTTAGTTAACTAGTTAACGTAATTCCACACCGAGTCGGCCACCAAATTTCTCCACCTACTAATTTAACTGCTCATTCAATTCAACGCGCAATTATGCCACCAAAATGCAAGAAAAACTCTTCAAATTCAGTTGAGCAAGAGGGGAGGATTGAACTCGCGATAAAATCTATTCAAAATGATGAAAAGCTCTCAATTCGTGAAGCTGCAAAGCTATTTAATGTGCCTAGGTCTACTCTTCAAGATCACCTCAAGCACCGGCCCTCACGGGTGAATTTACGCGCAAAATCTCACAAATTATCTGCTGCTGAAGAGGATAGCCTAGTTGAATGGGTGCTGGACCAAGCTAAACAAGGATTTCCCCCTCAACCAGCATTTGTTGAAGATATTGCTAATTATCTTCTTACCTTACGGAATTCCACTGCCTCCACTACCTCCCCCCCTCGGGTCAGCAAGAACTGGATTTCAAGGCTGATTAAATGTTGTACAGAGCTCCGAAGCCGCTATTCCAGATGCTATAATCATGACCGGGCCAAGTGTGAAGATCAGCAGGTTATAAAGGATTGGTTTAAGACCTTAGGAGATACAATTGCTGAGCATGGGATTGTGCCAGAGGATATATACAACTTTGATGAGACTGGCTTTGCTATGGGGCTCTGTGCCACTACTAAGGTCATTACTAGTAGTGAGCACTATGGCAGAGCAAAGCTCCTACAGCCTGGAAACTGTGAATGGGTGACTGTAATTGAATCAGTCAACGCGTCAGGATGGGCTCTACCTCCCTATCTCATCCTCAAAGGCCAGGGCTTGTTGGAAGATTGGTTTGAAGGCCTTCCAGAAGGCTGGAGGCTAGATGTCAGTCCAAATGGCTGGACTACTGATGAAATAGGCCTGAGATGGCTTCAACGGGTGTTTATTCCAGCAGCAGATCCTCGCAGAGTTGGCAGATCTATCCTTCTTATCCTGGACGGGCACGGCAGTCATCTTACCCCAGAATTTGACCAAATCTGCAAGGATAATGCTATAATATGCCTTTGCATGCCGCCTCATTCCTCTCACCTTCTGCAGCCACTAGATGTGGGTGTTTTTTCAGTTTTAAAGCGAGTGTACGGAGATCTAGTTCAGCAGCGAATGCGGCTTGGATTTAATGCCATTCGGAAGGCAGATTTCCTAGATGCCTACCCTGCAGCACGCACTGCAGCCTTCAAACCTCAGACTATTCAAAATGGCTTCAAGGCAACTGGAATAGTGCCCTTTCAGCCTGACTACGTCCTCCAGCAGCTGGATATTCAACTACGGACCCCTACCCCCCCACGCAGCAGCTCTAGCAATTCAACCATGTCCTGGGTGCTTCAAACACCTAGTAATCCCCAGCAATTACACTGGCAGGCGAATAAGATCAAGGGCTTAGTGGAGGGTCAGCCTCAAGGCTTTGTGGAAGGTTTTGACCAAATTATCAAGGCCTGTGAATATGGGATGGTCAGTGCCACAATTCTAAAGAAGTAATACCAGGATATATTCAATGTGAATGAGATAGAGAAGCAAAAGTAGACTAGATCTAGATGTCAGATTCAACATGCAGGGGGTCTCACTAGGCAGGAAGCTCAGAATCTTATTATTCCATCTGCTGCACCTGTTGAACAGTCTGTCATTCAACCTTCTGAGCCTGCAGTCTCTGGGCCTAGGCCACACTCAGGAGCACCACAGTGGTGCAGCAACTGCAATTTACCTGGCCATAGGAGAACAAGATGCCCTCAATCTAGTGTAATTTAATTTAATTTAATTAGGGGGGAGTGGGTGTAGATATTTCGGGTTAAAATCTAGTTAGTTGGGATACGGTGGTTTTGGTGTCTCGCTCGCTGGGGTGTCTCGCTCGGTGTGGAATTACGTTAACTAACTAGTTAGTTAACTTAATCCATCAGCAACAGCGGCTCCGCACCCAGACGTACAAATCTATGGTCCTTGAGAATTCCTTTTTGTCTAACAACTGAGCTCTCGCGAATTCCATTCTCCCTCTGAAATATGGAGTGCCAGGCTGTCTGCGAATAGAAATGAATCATAAGAGTTACCGGGAAATAGTCGACTCCTTGAATGACATCAAAATTGTATAGTTGGTGCGCCACTGTCTAGTAACCAGCATATCCTTCCAGTCAGAGATAACAAGGAGCGCGACTATAATCAAAAGGCCCAACTCTCCTCCATTGCAGTTTGGCAAGATAAAAGAGGCTTCCTTGATGTGGGCGTAATGCGCTTCAAAGTCAGGAAGTGGGAGATTGTCAGCCTTTTTCGACAGATGCGTCTTTCCGCTTTCCGAACATCATCCACGACCATGTTTTATGGGTTTATGTCACTGACATTCGTGGGTTCACACCATGGAATGGTACAGAATTTTCGGGACAGTGAAAACATGATATGCCGCTTTCTTTAAGTAGGTGGAATACCGAATATCGATAGATACGGGTCATTGCCTATTTGTGTTGCACATCATCAATGAGCCAGACTTGATAAAGGGGGAACATGCCTTTGTTGGCTTTCAGAGGGGCTTTGTATTTATCACATAGCTTGAGCTCTCAAAGACTATTGTGATTTTCGTTGTTGCGATTTGCAGTTGCAGAAGTGAGTTTGAAATGTGCAAGTAAAAATAAAATAAAATAAATGAAATGAAATGAAGATATAGACTGATTCAAAAGGCGAAAATATACCAGATGACTTCAACAAAGCCTTTCACCAGAAGCTGCAGTCCTTGACCAAGATATGATTCTCAGTGTTTAAGCAGCGGTTCTTGTTACCTGAAACTTCGTTCCCTGCTTGCAACGACCAAGCTCCATTTAAATCTATTAATGGAGGCAAAGACTTCTCCCTTCAATTTCAGCCGCCTAGAGACCGTTAATATTTAAGCCCGAGAAGCTGAGACGTTGACGGAATGGACGTTCTCATATTTCAGCGCTTACTAGTTGACAAATGACTTGGACTCTCGGGGTTGAAATCGTGGGTCCTTCGGCTCGTATCGAGCTACGACGTAGGACTCAAGGGACCAACAGAAGACGCATCCCAAATGCTGATATTCTTCACCGTGCTGTGGCCAAGAATTCTCAGGGTTTGGGTCACGATTAGAGTGCAGTCATTTGGAGAACTCGGCCTGCGGACCCGATGGCCGTCCCAAAATCTGGAAAAGCCAAAGCCAACCTCAATCAAAACTGCTTTGCTCTGTTGATCTGGATGTAATACACACTAAGCGTTTCTATACTCTTCTGCTAATGGCGTTATTCCATCCCAAAGTCGAAAGCCTTTCCCTGTAGATGAGACCTCATCAAACAAAGGAAAGCGTTCACATGTGGTGAACAATAACGACATCAAAGACCGAAAAAGCAAAACGCGCAGCCCTATAAGGTGGTGTCTCCAGTCAGACTCCTGCCAGCCTCGATTTTTCGCATGGGCGAAGAAATCGGATGAGAATGCATCAGGAAACGAGCTTTCTGATGCTTATTCCTTAAGTTCGCAAGCACATATACGGTCTGAAGTATACGGCTATAATTGAATTATCTGTTCCTTAAAATTTTCTTTTTACTTTCAATATTTTTCTATCATTGCTTTGGTATTAAAGGGGTCTCTCCAACGTATATATTAACATCTAGATTCTAGAGCACGCCGCTTGAACAACCATAATCAAGAACTCTAACCTCTGAGTCACATCAAGAATCTTCCTATGCAGTTAGATCCTTGTCTCCACAGACAGCTATTGGTGAAACCAGGCCAGATCCGTTTGATGCGCTGCCTTCGCCGCCGAATGATGAATAGCAGCAACTAGTAGATTTCTGGATCTCAAAGTTAACCTCATGGTCAGGAAAGAACCATTTTATGAAGCAATCCGTGTACAAAGAGGCTATGATGCACCCATGATTTTCACGTTTGTGTATTGACGTACACCGCTCGTTATCTAGCTAGCGTGTCAACTAAGAATAACATTCAAAGTTCGTCGTACGTCTCCACTGCTGAGAAAATGCTCAACGCGGACCTGGGAAATAGTCAATACCAAGGGAATGGTGCTTCGACGATGGCGTTCACTGCTCTATCTGTACAAGAGGCCAGACACGGGAACAAACGCAATTCCATCAAGTACTTGGATGCCGCACTGCAGAGCTTGAGTCGACGAAGAAAGGAGAGGCTCTTATGTGATACCAATACGCATTATGCATTTGCAGCTGCTCACGTTTCTTGACAACGCAAAATCTTTGGCCGCTTGTCAAAGTCAACCTGCATTTCTATCCATGATTCCCCAGCGAACATTCCCATCTGAATATATGACTATTCTGCATCTGATCCTATCTCCAGGACCACATCCCACCCAAATACCTGAAAACAAACGGGTATGAGTCCTGAAATATGAGCTTTCTACTTTATGTCGAGTATCCTCTTTGGTATACCTTAATAAGGCGCTTTGGGATCAACGGGAGTCCGCCGGTAAGTGTATACGATATCTCGACCACATCGTCGCAAATGTGCTCGAATACGATATCGAACGCGATTTCCCTGTCGAATCATTCTCGTGGTTATTACTGGAGGACAAGTGTGATTTCGACCTAAGAAATCCGGATCGAGCTTGATTTGTCGGTGATATATGATGGATAGTTTCAAACAGATCCCTCCATCACTTTAGTTCCGATTCTCTGAGTTACTATTTTCATTCCTCATGCTCAGGCCTCCGGATTTTAGTATCACTGTCGAAAAGTTTAAAACCCATGTTCCTCAGCTGGTGGAACCTGAATAGCATGTGCAACCCGTGGAATAAAACGCCTTCATCTTCTATTGTTGCATCTCGTGTTGTTGAACGTTGATATCTAGCACCAACGTTTCAAGCTTCTTCTGGTACAACACTTAAAAACTCTTAGCCCATCTGATCAATAACTATAACGTTTCTCTCACTAAACTGCTTAAGAGCTCCAAAGCTGATATTGTTGCTGCCCACACATAACGATCACTATCATTTTTTCAAATCGGTCCGACGACAACAAGTAAATTCGCCCCTGAACGGACCGCCTCTCTATTCCTGGGAAGCATAGTTCTTACGAAAAGTACATATTCAAGACGACATCCTATCTAAGAGAGGACCTACGTCCAATTTTGCAGGGGTGTCGGATGTGGAACACTCGCTTTTACGCTAACTTCCCTACTAGCAGTCAAATCCGCACCTCCAAGAGCCTTATCTCAGTGGATATGTTTAGGCAGTGTATCCATTCTTATGCGATGAATGATATTCAGTCGACAATGAACAAAAGAGCACATTTTCCTACGCCCTCATGTACATAACGATGTCAGCACAAAAAGTCTAGCATATTTAAAGAGTTTTATCCACTTTTCCCACTCCGAGTCGCACAGTTTTCCCAATTATTACACCCAAAATATTCCCCGAGCCCGCTGCTTCTTTGGGAATCCTATGATGAATGCCCAGCTCATGCCCATTCCCACGAATGTACTCCTACACCAACACTTCTCTCCACAGAAAATCAGCGCTCGTGCAAAAATGCTTCCAGTATCTCCCATGTATCAATTACAAGTCAAAAAGGCATTTCCAAACCACCATTCTCCATCTCGAAACTTCACATCACTGTGTGTGCTATGCATTGTCAATTACAGACGTTCTGCCGTGAAACCTCGTGCAACCCTCAGAACCTCCTTCCCCGGACTTTCCTTCTCCCTACCTGCTTTCACGGTGAGCACAGGTACACATGCGAAGATAAGAGAGGGGCCCAACCCCGGGGAGGTTCTGTAGTAGATCCTCTTATGTCACCTTGTCCCTGGAAGTGAGACAATATGCTGTGGAGAGGAAACATAGAAGTACACCTAGATGTATGGTGACAGCGGGACCATTTGACGGTATTTGAGTAAGTGTAGCAGGGAGGGACTTGAAGTTTTTACCCACAACTTCTTCATCAACCCTGTTCTTGTTGAGCTCCGGATTGAATCCGTCATGACATGACCTCATCGAGCTTCCCGTTCAGTTAGCTTACCCCAGAGTCGATTTTACCTTTCCAAGTATCCCTAACCCCCTGTTTAACCTGTCCATAACCATAGCTCTCTATGCCATGTCAAATTATTCTGGGATAAGCTCTCGAGTATAACCAACCGCAGTTGACATGATTGGCCGCTCAGAGTATATCAACCCCGTGCCCGATGTCGATGTCTGGGGATTCTCGGATGCCATAGTCAGCGTCCTGTATTCCGGAGGACCAGAGGCATTCCTCCAGAAACTTGCATGCAACGAGGCATTTGTGTCTCCAATCTGCAGTACTTTGGATAATTTATACGGCTTTGTTCAATGGAGAACATTCCTAACATGAATCCCTTAGAGAAACAAGAATAATCTCACCTCTTTATTTGAATGTAGATGATGGGAACAAAGGTGGAAACAGGGAGTCTTAATCCGGTAGATTCTCCATACTTATTATCCATGAAATACGATTTCAGCCCTATGTCAGGTCAGGCTTTGGTAAGGGAGTACCTTAAGCTCCAGCTCTCAATCTCAGGTTTTCTTCGATCTGTGTCCTTTGAAAATAAGATGAAACCTTAGATGTTGTGATTAAACTCCTTGTTTGGAATATCTGACTTGAAAATCTTTTTCATCACTTCTCTTAATGCTTGCAAGTGAAATTTGAGGATTGCAGGTTCAGAATAAAAAAAAAAAATAAAAATAAAAATAAAATAAAATAAAATAAAAAACATCCAGCCAAATTATGCTGTTTAGTTCCCTTCATTTCTCTCTTGATTTACTTTGGCCTGACTTGTTGCCTTTTGACTCTCTCACAGACCTGTGATCAATTACTTTGCTGCAATTAGTTAGTTAGCTATCATCATGAATTTTGTAAGCATACCAATGGCATCAGATATTCTGTGCCTGTGGCTTTGAACCTGGGCTTGTGCAGATGTGATATGACTGACAAAGATTCACATGAGCTCTGCTGACTGCATTGTGGCTGAGGACTATGGATGGTGGATTCATCTGTCGAATGCTCTTTTCCTCTTCACTCATATCAACGTTGGGACTCTGCTTTATATGAGATGACAAAAGTGTCCAGAGTCAAATTGCAATCAAGAAAATTTGGAAACTGAATGTGACCTGATATGTTAGCTGAAAAGTCAGTTGTACTAACAAAGAACTTTATTTTCAACTATATCTTTTTCAAACGATATTATTTTATAGTGAACAGAACAATTCAAATAGCTAATCTTATAAAATTTGAGTTGTAAGGATGTTAAGTGTAAGTTCTGATACTTCTCAAGGTTCCAACCTTAATGAATCCAAGAGGGAACCGAGTGTCTATCTTGTAACCAGCCCAATTAAGCTTGAAAGCCTAAAACTGATAGTCGATGATGGTAGTCAATCCTTTGGCTACAGGGACGAACTGGCGACAGTTGTCTTGCTCCCAACTGACCTATTACATGCGGCGGTTCCAGCCACAGCAAGATCTGAGATCCTCAACTGGCAAATTCAATTCGCATCTGATAGCCTGGCGCACTAGGATGCTTCAGCATGAAACTGGCCACGTCTCCTTGCTAGCTTGTTCTTCAGTTCCTTGAGAACTCCAAAGGCGATGGAGATATGCAGCGCGTCCTCTTCAGAAGAGTCAATTTATAAGTGCCGTGCAAATGAATAATTAATGCTAGTGAGATTTGGTTAAGGAATGGTGGAGGAGGAAGCTTAGTAGTTGTCCTCTTCTCAATTCTCTAGCTCTTCTCCAATTACGGCTCGAGATGTTGAGATCGTCCAGCGTGCTGCCCTGTATGAATCGCCTCCAGAAGGGACCAGCACTGGGTTGGGTTTGGATGATCGTAAAATAATAAGAAAAAGAAGCTCCATTGGGTTAGTTCAATGTCCAATCACACATTATTCATTCAGATGGACTTACGCACTATATTGCTTATGCCTCAAGTGCTCTTTTCTTTTTCTCAGGAGTCGCTTCTGCGCGGTGGCGAGAACAAGAGACAGCAAGTTAAGCAATGCAGCTTCAAAGTTAGAGACAACAGCTGTCAATCGATCCGTGGCTTTCACGCCCCTTTCTGGGCCTTGCTGCATCACTCCCCAGCCAAAAGGGTGCTGTTCTCGGATACTCCTGGAATGTTGTTTTGCTGTTCCAGTCCAACGGGTCACTCACTCACTGCTGGTCTCCCCGAATGAGTCCCACAAAAATTAATCTGGTGTCACTTGGAATCTTGCTTGTATTATTTCTCCCACGCTCGTTCGCTCTTTTTTTTTTTTTTACCCTGCCTTTTTTTTTCTTTTCTTTTCTTTTCTTTTTTTCTAACTTCTCGTTGCTTTGTGTGTACTTATTGCTCTCTGTTCCCCTCTTTTGCATATTCTCTCCCATTTTAATCATCGGTTCATACGAGGGGCATCAGCAGATTCTTTTACTTGCTCTCCCCCTTCGTCGCCTTTGCTGCAGTTAGCAGCTAAATATCCACCTCTGTTGTGCAGCTTTGACAGCGGAGCTGAGAGCAGCATCAGCAACCATGGTTAGTAAATTAATATGTCGCTTCTGCTTGTTCTTTTGAGGCTTATTTTTCCTACCTGCCCACTCCCTTCAATTCCCCCGCTTTATCAAGTTATGATGTTTGGCACTCTCTCCTCCGTCGTTGCATCGCTTTCTAACGCAGTGTATTTCCACCCGCTCTTAGGATACGCAGGATCCAAAGGATGCCTCCAACTCCCTCTCCGGGCTTGTGTCGACCTTGGTTCCCACCCTCATCGTTTCGGGTGCCATGGTCCTGCTCTTCGTCCTCCTGCGTCAAAGTCAACGCCGCCAATATGCCCCCAGAACTTACATCGGCTCCCTGCGTGAACAGGAGCGTACGCCAGAGCAATCCCCTGGAATCTTTGGCTGGATAACATCCATGGCGAAACTGTCTGATGAATACGTGCTACGGCACCACTCCCTTGACGCCTACCTCCTCCTCCGATACATTAAGATTGCCACTGCCATCTGCTTTGTTGGCTGTCTCATCACCTGGCCGGTCCTGTTCCCCGTCAATGCTACTGGCGGTGGCGGATTGAAGCAATTGGACTTGCTCACTTTTGGCAATGTGCAGAACAATCTAAATAAATTATATGCCCATACTTTTATTGCATGGATTTTCGTTTGTAGGTCTACTTAATCTGGGCGGAACGTGTTGTTTATCGAAAGACGTAGCGATGATTATCCATGACGATGACGAGGTGGTCAGTCATCAAATTGCTGATATTAGATACCTTATAGCTTTTGTTTTCTTCATGATCACACGAGAGCTACTGTTCTTCATCAACTTGCGCCAGGCATATTTCTTTTCCCCGCTCTATGCTGGTCGTATCTCTTCCAAAACCGTCCTTTTCACCTCCGTCCCGGAAGAATACCTAGATGAAGCAAAGATTCGACGGATATATGGCAACGATAACGTGAAGAATGTTTGGATCCCAACAAAAACCAAAGAATTGGAGGATATGGTCGACGACAGAGATAAGGCTGCGTACCGTCTTGAGGGCGCTGAAACGAAGCTCATTAAACTGGCTAATAGCGCACGCATTAAGGCTCTTAGGGGGAAATCGGCTGACGAAGAGAACCACGACATAGATAATCTCGCTCCTGGAAATGAAGCTGAGGGGGAATCGGGCTCAGTGGCTGCTCGCTGGATCAATCCTTCACAAAGACCCTCCCACAAACTCAAACCGCTTATTGGTAAAAAGGTCGATACGATCAATTGGGCCAGGACTGAGATTGAGCGCTTGAGCCCGGAAATCGTAGCTCTCCAGGAGAAGCATCGTGCTGGTGATGCTGAGAAAGTTACAGCCGTTTTTGTCGAATTCTACACGCAGAGGGATGCTCAGGCTGCATATCAGATGGGTATGTAGCTGTCGACATCTGAAATAGGGTAGCAATGGTTCAAGTCGCTAACATTATCCTTTTGCAGTTGCTCATAACCAGCCCTTGCACATGGCTCCGAGATATATTGGTCTCAATCCGGCGGATATCATCTGGTCCAATTTGAGGATCAAATGGTGGGAGCTTATTATCAGAAATGCTGCCACCATCGGTGCCGTCGTGGCTCTCATCATCTTCTGGGCAATACCTGTTGCAGTTGTCGGAACCATCTCGAATATCAACTTCCTCACAGAAAAAGTCAAATTCCTCGGATTCATTAAGAATTGCCCCCCAGTCATTTTGGGTCTTATCACCGCTCTCCTCCCCGCGGTGCTTCTCGCGGTTCTCATGGCTCTTTTGCCCATCATACTTCGATGTAAGTGTTTATTTTTCCCAGCCAGATATTTCACGTCGGAGCTACTTACTGATTTCCTTCTCCGACTGCAGTGATGGCAAAAATCGGTGGTGTGCCAACCACAGCGGCGGTGGAACTCAGGACTCAAAACTTCTATTTCACATTCCAGGTTGTGCAGGTGTTCCTCGTTACTACCTTGTCTTCCGCAGCTTCAAGTGCGGTGGCCGACATCATTAATGAACCCCAGAAAGCAGCTCAGATGCTGGCAGAGAAAATCCCGAAGGCGTCCAACTTCTATGTTGCATATTTCATTCTCCAGGGTCTCACATTCAGCGCGGGGGCCCTCCTCCAGATCTCTGGTCTGATTGTTTCGAAAATCTTGGGCAAGCTGTTCGATAACACGCCTCGAAAGATGTACAAGCGCTGGTCAACTCTGTCCGGACTCGGCTGGGGAACCGTCCTGCCGATCCTAACCAATCTTTGCGTGATCGGTATGTAATTCTATGCCTTAGTTATCATTTTCGCTTTATATACTAATTAGGCGTCTCAAAAGCCATTACTTACAGCGCCATCGCCCCACTGGTCCTCGGTTTCGCAACCATCGGCCTGTTCCTTTTCTACGCCGCTTACCGCTACAACATGCTCTACGTCACCAACAGCAACATCGACACAAAAGGCATGATCTACCCACGTGCTCTGCAACAGACAACAGTAGGCTGCTACCTGCTGGTACTCTGCCTAATTGGTCTGTTCGGCATCAACGCTGGCAACCAAAAAGCCGCTCTTGGCCCTTTAGTCCTCATGGTCATCTTCCTCGTCTTCGTCCTCATCTACCACATCTCACTCAACGCCGCCGTAACACCACTCCTCAAATACCTCCCGCGCAATCTCGAATCCGAAGAGGAAGATCTACTCCTGAAAGATGCCTCGGAGCGTGATGGTACCACCGAAAAATCGACCACCGCCGGCCCATCCAACAACGGCGTAAATAACGGCGCAGAGCCGGGCGCTGATGCCGAAAAGGGAATCACCTCCCCCGCAGATCTCATCCCGACAAAACCACAGGGCATAATTGGCAAATTCTTCCGCCCAGACAAATACAGCAACTACGAAACGCTGCGCAAGCTAGTACCGAAGGACTTTGCAGAAATCTCCTATTCTCCCCAGGTCGAGCAGAATGCCTATTACCCGCCCTGCGTCGGGGCGCAGCCGCCGCTCCTGTGGATTCCGCGTGATGCGGGTGGTGTTAGCAGGCAGGAGGTGGCGCATACGTCCAAGGTGATTCCGATTACAGATGAGGATGCGACTATTGATGAGAATAATAAAATTTCGTGGGATGAGGCCAAGGGGGTGCCACCTATTTATGAGGAGAAGATTTATTATTAAGATTTCCCCTCTTCCCCCTTCCTTTGGTGCCTTGTTTTGGTTTTGCCGTTCCGTTGTGGTGAGGTGTGAGGAGAATCGGGTGAATGAAATGGATGATATGGCAGGCGGTAATGTTGAAGAACGATTTCGAAGGAGGTGGTGGGTGGGGTGGCCTGTGATGCTGGCGAGGAGTTATGTCTTGAGAATACGAAATAATCATAATGTGGTGGATGAATTGGTGTCATGAAGACAAGATAGCTATATGCCTTTTATTTCGTCCCGATTGTCGACAGGAAAAGGGAGTCCATGGAGATGGATTTTCGGTGGCTCCCCTTTTTCTGTTGATTTCAATATACCCTTCGTTTGCTGAGTTCTAATCTCTATTTTATCTTTTCCTTCCTTGCCTTAGGTCCCTTCACATTTCAATTTTCGGCTTTTATGGTTTTCGCTGGCTTGCTCTTGATCGACGATGGCCATATGCTTGAGCAAGATGGATATTTTCTCTGCCCTTTTCCCTCTCTTAGGGGAAATGTGTTTCCTTTATTATTCTGTGAGAAAGGTTGAATCCCTGCTACTTCAACCTTGTCTACCTAAAAATACCGGTTTTTCTCTCTTTGTCCTTTCTGTCTACTCCTTTGGAGCATCGAATCCCGACCATCTGATGAATGATCCAACCCTTTGTTCAAAAGTATACTATCCATGCAGATACCCGGCATATGCATCTCGCTTTACGTACCCCTTTTGCCCTTCTATTCATCCGGAAAACAACAATCACACTCTACTTTCTCTGCTTATAGCCTTATGATTTTCGATTTTGCGGCTCATATAAATGCGTTTGCAGTTGAACATGGACATTTAAAAAAATATAAAAAAGGGGGTAACACGAATATGGTAAATGGCGTTCTGAATCGAGCCTCGTAGGCGGTATGCTGTGATCTGAAAAAGGTCCAACCAACATCGGTTCTTGTTCTGTGATAGGTGGGATTGACGACACTTGACTACTGATAGTCCTTGAGCTGCATCTCGACGAGAATGGTACGTTTGACTATGCTATGCTAATTGTCACCTCGTTGCAATTTGGGAGGGAAGAGTTCCCATGTTTCCCGCGCTGACCAGGAACTTATTAGCGCCGCCACCAACAAACAGCCTCTCACAAATCTGCACTTCCGTTCTCTCTTGACGGCGTTGAGAAACACCTTCGGCTGAGGATTTCCTTTCTGATCTTACGTAGAATCAGTATTTCAGATACTTTAACTGCCAATTACTTTTCCTGATTTATTAATTTCTCTTTTGAGCCCACGGCGGATGTTTCGGATGTTTCTGATGTTTCTTTTTTCTTTTTTCTTTTCTTTTTCTTTTTTTTTTTTTTTTCTATTTTAGATTCGTCATGCCCTGTCCTGTCTTACTATTATCAAATGCTGATAATCTTCTCGCCTTCCTCTATTACCATTAGATATGTGGTATGGATATGAATGCAACATGGTGAATGATAAAAGGTCCTCCACATCGCCAAAAAAGTGAAAATGACAGAAGAAAAAGGGAACAGGAATTACTTCCTTTAGAAGCCTCTGCTCGCCCATCCACTTCAGAAAAACTCTGATGGCGGTCTTGGAAAGCCCTCGTCCAAACGTCCAGCTCTACGTGACGAACTGACCATGACAACTGAGTTCGAATGCGCATGTGCCCGTTGGGGCCGTACGGGACTCGCTTCCAATGAACCACCCGGAGTGACATTAATCTCCATCTCTGGCTGATCATCCTGTTGCTGCTGTTGGTGCTGGTGATCCAGGTACTGCTGGGACCTTTCTCCGGTATCATCACCATACCCGTACAGCTGAGGATCCAAACCATGCGTTTGGGCGTCGCTGGAATTTCCATGATACCCGTGCCCAAGATGCCCAAGATGCTGCAATCTATTCCGCAACGACCGTATATTCCACCCATCATTCATGGCAGCAAGCGCAACAATACTCTCCGCCTCCGCCACCATGTTATCCTGCACATATATATCCCGATCAGTCATCTCCCTTTCATCTTCTTCCTCTTCCAAGTCATCAGCCACGTTCTCCTTGTCATCGCTGGCTAGCAGATGGATATGTTCATCGATGTGTTTCCCCGCCTCTGCCGGCATCGGTGGTGATGCGTATCCAGCCGTGGGATCCTGGTAAATGAGAAATGGCCTGGTGGTCTGTATTCCGTTGCGGGCGGGGACAGTCCATCCCACCGGCCCCAGGTACGGGATTCTCAATGTTAGAATTCGGTCTTCTGTGTAGATGTGGGTGTAGCTGTGTACCGGCTCGCATGGTTCGTCGTCGTCATCAGCCTCGTAGCCCCTGGAGTCCGTCTTTATCCTCACACCTTCCTTCAAGTCAACGCCCATTTCCATTCCTGATATGTCTTGATTCTGTTCGTTTTGTCCCTCCTCACAGATGGCCGGCTCTCTTTCATCATCCCCGTCCATGTTTTGGGGCATTGACGCTCCGGATTGCGGATGAGGGCCTTGATGTCTGTTGCAGAAGCTCACAAAAGGCCCATGACATCCCTCGCGTCCCGGGGAACAATTCTGTCCATATTCTTGCTTTTTAGCATGTGTCTTCTATCTCTTTTATACTCATTTCCTCTTCTTAGTCATATTCAATTTGTCCCATGATACAGGGAGCCCCTACCTCGTAGACGTGGTATCCAGCTCCTCTAATCCTTTTCTCATTTCTCTCTTTTTGGGCTGATAAAGCCGCCTGTTTTTTCCTCGCAGGTGCAGTTAGCACACATCTGCCTGCTCAAAGGGGACCCAAACCTATGAAATTCTCCCTCCACCGGTGGAAAACTACCTGCTCCTCTATATCCAGAGACATTTCAAAATCAATTGGCTCTACTTCTAAATCTAGTCGCGTTCTCCTTGCATAGCTCTGTTGCCAGAGCGATTGTTGTCAATATCTCTCTTTATTTTATCTTCTTAAGTCTAGTTTTGTGGGATTTTCAAGACAAGACATACCTGGCTGCGAAACGAATACCCATATTGCGGAGGCGTCATGACCGCATCTGAAATATCCACTTCGTAGGAATGTCTCGAGTTCTGGGTCAGATAAGGAGAGTAATTTGCATCTATCCACGTTTCTAGGGATGGTCGATATGCTAAAAATATCCGAAACCCCTTCAGAAAGACATCTGGAAGTGGACATGAGTTGCCAAAATATTTTGAGAAGCACAGACAATGGCTGACCAAGCGTGCAGAATAAAGGAGAAGGGAGCGTGATATGCTATTGTACGGAGCAAAGAAGGAGAAATTAGATGGAAAGAAGGGATGCCCCTGAGAGACTCTCACGAAAAGTGGACGTGATGTGATGTTGGACAAGTGAGTGAGCTCGTGGATGGGGGGTTTTGCTAACAGACCGTGGGTTTGCAGGTGCTGAACGTGGAGGAGCTTGTCTGCTATGCGATACATCAACTGATTAGACATGCTGTGATTATTGCCCAAATGTTTACAGACGGCAGCGGCATCATATGCGGGGGAAGAGTTATTAGGGATATCTACCTCACTTACCTGAGAGCATTCGGTATGTTTATTTCAAGAAAAAGGGGGGGGTCGTTATTATCACGTATGCGTCTAACTGACTTACTACGAGTCAATAAAAGGGGCTAAATCAAGGTTATGCTGTGATGCTTCTCCACTCGATGGCAACGGTCATCGCCACGCACGAGATCAAGTGAAACTCAGATACAGTTATTTTATTGCCTGTGTCTATCAAACATGTATCCCGTCTGACATTTGGGGGATTATTTGAAGTTGAGGCTAGAAGCGCATAGAAAGTATAAGATCTCATTGACTTCATCCATCCTTCATATCAACTCCTATGAGTATTTGCTCAGGTGAGCAGTGTGGCAAAGAAGATCGATCGGCCAATGAGTTTTCTTTGAACAATATAAGGTCCATGCTGCTGATTGAATAGTATTAGGCGAGAAATTACAAGAACGCGAGAGATACCACCCTCTATTCCCCGCCTTACTTTGTTTACCTTATCCAGAGGCTTGACTATAGATATACGAACTGAGACTATCAGCACAGCTGCCTTGACAGGTTTCTGGACCCGACAGGTGAGGAATGATCGCCCATTTTGCAGGCTTCTCCCGTTGATAAAAGGCGTATTCATCTAGATGTTCAGCCTTTATCACTAGAGGTAAAGATCGAAACGGTGGCAGAAGAAATAAGGTGATTAGATGGTATCTGATCCCCGTTACTTGGAAATAGGAGTTGATTGAAGAGATAGACTTAATGACAGGAGTACAACGAAAAGGGAATTTCTTTTCTAACATGAATCACCAGTTCCACCCAGCATTGGGCTCACTCTTTGTTTCGGGCTACTCTGGGACTTTCCTCTTGACAAGATTTCATGGTGAGATAGGCCTTTCGCTGACCATACCACCATTCCAACGTTATATATGCCTAGTATATGTATATGTATAGATATATATATATATATATACATGGAAGCTGTTGTCCTTCAGCGTTGTTTCTCCGCGGCGAGGAGGTGAGCCCTGCCCTTGCAAATGGGGATAAAATGGTGCTAACTACCGATATACGTAGGTAGCTAGGTATAATCCCCCTATACGAAGTCTCTCTTACCTTGATGCATAATATAAAAGCATTCCCCGATGTTTTATTTTTGTGGTTCAATCTCAACTTGTTTATGACCAATCCCGTTTCATTTTTACCTTTCATCATCCATTTGTTCATTGCAGTGGATTTCTTCTGGTTTGTTGTCTATGTTTATTTATCGATTTACTGCGTCCGGTTATCTCTTTTGTTGTGTTCTCTCTAAGGAACAAAGGCGACGGCACCCAGCATGAGATGCGGTAGATGATGGGACACAATGGGGGTGTTACTCTATCTCCGTTTTGGTCGCCCGGGATGGCAACACCTGAATATAGCATGTACAGTTGCGCTTGTACGTACGAATGGGAGAATAGATAGCGCTCGTTGGAGGGACTGAGAACAACGAAGGCGCTGTATCACCGTGCCTATGTGCCAGAGTTAGGGGACACTGTTCCAATTGCCCTGCTGCGAAAAGCCGGAATTTCTGCAGGATGTCATGAAAAGCATGGGTCGAATTACTTTTTAGCTGGTCCAGAAGAATGGTCTAAGCCGGAACCGACATATAGAAGGTCTGCACGGGATGTACAAGCTACAACTTGGCTGAGTATATTAACCAGAATGAGAGGGCTCCTTCTGGGGGTCTATACGATTCCATAGCTGCCGATATCTGCGCCGAAAATGGGGGGAAACGAATTTGTGTCCTTTCGACTTCTGCAAAAGCAAAGAGGCATAGCGGGGGATGTTAGCACCAGCTCAAGGTGAATAGTTTTTGTTATCCCCGATCTGGGGTTGAGACGGTTTTGTCCAAGTTTACCCCTGAACCGACCAAGAAGTGAGACTCCATATGATCTGTAGGGGTATGAGAAGTGCTGGATACAAAACCAGCATCCTCACTACGTCCTTGGATTCATCAGTATTGGGCTAGCAATATGGGCAATTCTGTGAGGGTATTTTCACGTAGTATTGGGGATGAAATAAATCCATAGATTTGTATTACCTCAGAGCCATCGACTACGACAATGCTTAAACATCGATGTTGCTATTCGCAGAAAGGGGCAGAATCTCAAGCTTCATTCTCGAAAAACTTAAGCAAGAACTGATGCCCCAGACGCGTTTGTAGGCCTGATAGCTGGGCCAGCCATAAGAGGTAACTGGGAAATTACTTTATGTAACTCACTTGCTCCTTTGACTATATGAGAATTTCATTGATCAATAAGCTAGCCATCAACATATTTTACGAAACAGCAAAGCAAACAAAGAAGCTCTAGAGGAGGTTATCCTCAAAAGCAAAATGAGGATTAGAGACTGAGAGTGTAAAACAACACAGTTGCCGAGATATGTCTATCTTTCGGTACTTGGCCATTTCAGTTTACATCCCACGACATCCTTTCAGCATTCTCTTTACCAACATTCCAACGTCGTTCTCTCTTGGCAGCCTCTCAAGTTGAAGACAACCCTGACTTTCTGATCACCATCTGTAAGTGTCTTTGGGCATTCTTCCAGGCCTCCAGAAATGATAAAGGGGCTGGCAAATATAACCTGCGGTAGCGATGTGATGGGTGATACGTTACGACAAATCTGAGCTTGACATTGGGGACAGCAAACATGATTTATTCGGAGATTAGGCTCCAGCCAGCATGGATGAAATGAAAAACCTAGCTCGTAACGGTATTGACAGTTGCATTGAGATGCTTGATCTGCTTCAGCAAACTGATGCTTAACAGCAGAAAGGGTGTCAGGGGCTGCAACTTTTGTGACAGATTAAAAAGGATCAGAAAGAACTGAGCCGCAGGTACCAGGCTACAGAGCAGGCCCGGGATGGAATGGAAAAGAAATATGAAGAGCCTAACCAGTGGACAACAGCTCTGGATGCCAGTTTCAAAGAAATGCAATTGAAAAGGGCGAGTTTTTGGTGTGGAGTTCACTGGAATAAACTTCTTTTGGATAACTGAATTCGTCAAACCGAATAGCCGAAAAATGCGTTCTCCCTTCGGGATCCGACCTCAAAAACTAGTCCAGCAAGCGCGGAAGACCAACGACTCCTTCTGAACAAACTCATACCTAATCTTTATCATCAAATGTCATTCCCTTAGGCACAGAACCGGAATGGAAGTGGTCTGGGATGGAGCACTATATTATGTAAGGGGTGCCTTTTGGTGGACGACGCGGCGGGATTGAAACGAGAGCCTTGGGATAGCCCAAGGATTCAAAATTAACATTCTGAATCAAGAGATTGCATTAATAGGTCTCACGCAAAGTTTTAACTGATGCTTCCTCCTTTCTTCGCATTAATAATTATTTCCCATCCACAGAACATTTGCGTCTTTACTCTTCCATGAACTGTGTGCCAAAAGATGAGCCGAGCAAGACATGTGGAACATACCCTAGATCGACGATCCGACATTAAAAAGGATACAATATAGGCAAAAAATAGAGAAGTATACTTAGAGCAACAAGGATCTGAGCTAGACATTCCATGCAGCGTGATAAATAGTTCAGTATTGCAACAAAGAAAACGGAGTGTATCCAATTCGCACGGGTTGTAGCCATGGCCGGGGAATATTTGACGGGATGCAGTCCAATTTGAGAGCCGACTGGATGTAACAGTGGTTCACCCAAATTTGAGGCCTTGTTGGCCGCGACGTAGAGTGATCGAACCGCGCTCTCCGCGCAAGTGAGAAAACCTTAGGGAGCAGAAGAACCCTTTTTCGAAGCTTCTTATTTCTTCGAGGACCGGAAACACGCATGCGTCAATAATGACTCGCACCCAATAATCCCAAGAATTGCAGGAAGTAAAAGAGACGTGCAACAATAGCGAAAAGAACCCATTTTCAAACAGACAAGGCACTCTATTAGGAATGATTATTGATTCACAATCGGTGATGCCTTTAAATGACATCAAAATCTAGTTCAATTTGGCGAGGGTCTGACTTCAATTTTCGTAGCGGACGAACCGAAAGAAACAATATGTCGAAATGGAGGCTTCACGACGGCGCTGCAGATCGTCCATCCCTGGCTGCTTTCCGTGGATGAAAGTTTAACTACCCACCAGAGGGACCACAATATCGTCTCTGATCCACGAAAACGTTCACCTCTCTATCTCCTTCTTTGAGTCCAGTGATGATTTACTCAATGATCGACCATTTGGTACCTTAAGCAGGTATTTGCATATATGCATGGAAGCTCGTTGAGCACCCCCGAGCGCTAAGGCGGAGGACGGAGAAATATTATCCCACAATGCGACCAAACATCCCGATATCCGCTGCCGACTTTGCAAAAGGATTTAAAAGAAGTTAACCTTGAAAAATATTGCACTGTGGTCTGTGTATTCGAATTCGCCTCGTGTTTGGCCTTGTGGAGGTTGGTGCTACTCGATGAACTGAAGGCTAAAGGTTCTTAAAAATGCAGTCGGTGTAAAAGGTTGATGCGTGCACTCCGTAGCAAGGAATAGCACGCTTCAACAGCGGAAAGCTAACTCCGTTACGACCGTCTGATTACACCTCAATACAATCAATATTTCACCTGTATCTTTCTCTCCACGCTGGTCATGTATTGTAATGCATAAAGTGTATTATTCGCACCTCTGACTTCGACGGATTGAAAGATTGGGACAAGCGCGGCGTTATCCATCACCCTATTTAAGCTGCAGTAGGCCATGTTCATTGTAAGCAGCGATCATGGAGATTCGATGGGCAAAAGATCGTTGAAGGTTCAGCGACAATGCAGAAAAGACATTTGAAATCCAATCACTGGCGCGCGCTGGTGTGCTGATATGCCGAAATGTTGTGACAAACTTTTGAAGGTAGACAGATAAACATGCCTGACCATCTATGAAATTTATGGGATTGAACCTAATACTTGTACAG